ATAGTATAATATAATTATTATATTATATTATATTATAGTATAGTATAGTATTATTATAGTATATTATAGTATAATATAATGATTCTATTATATTATATTATAGTACAGTATAGTATAATATAATTATTATATTATATTATATTATATTATATTATATTATATTATATTATATTATATTATATTATATTATAGTATAGTATAGTATAGTATAGTATATACTTAATAATATTATATTATATTATAATATTATTACAATATTATAATATTATTACTATAGGATATATTATTCTTTTAATATATAACATATATGGATTATTGCTCTATATATTTATTTATAATAATCTCATTGTATTAATTATTTGGTCTTTGATATAATAACATTTATTATGATTCTTGGGAACCACAATTTAATGTGCATAGTTTTTTTACATAGAAAGCGCTGAATAATGAAATTTAAAATGGCAAAGAAATTTGAACCATTATAACAAAAATTGTAACAATTTTATGATGAAATTCAGTCTATTTCAGATACATTTATACGTTATGTATATATAAAATGTTAATATGTGTTTTATATAAAATATTAACATTATTTGTTCATTGTTTCAACTGTTTTTGCTATTTTAAACTTTGCTTTCTATGTACAAAAATGATATATAAATAATAAATAAAATTTATGTTTCTATTAAATACAATAAGTAACATAATTAATATTTCAGAACATAATTAATTAAATAATGCTATTTCAAACAAATATATAAAGCAATAATCTCTCGAACACTGCATATATTGTACTGTGCGTAAATAACAATTGGACACTTATAGTGCAATTCTATTAAAAGTGATATTTATATTACGTTTCGATGATTATGTTTTTCTACTATTAATTTTCTATATTTTCAATTTTTATACATACATAATACACGAAATCTTTTACTCAGCTAAAAGCACATACTTCAATCGTTCTAAAATATCAACAATGAACAAACATACCTAAACTCGCTCTATTATTATTATAACTTTAATAAACGGTTGTTATTATTATTATTATTATTACTATTATTATATTACTACTTTTTTTATCTATTTTTTATCTATTATTATTATTATTATATTACTACTTTATTATTATTATAATATTACTACTTATTATTATTATAATATCATTATAATATTACTACTTATTATTATTATAATATTATTATAATATTACTACTTATTATTATTATTACATTATTATAATATTACTACTTTTTTAATCTATTTTTATCTGCATCTACTTTATTTATGCATTATACATTTATTCCTTTTATCAATATTTATTGGCTACGTATGATAGGATTAAATTAAAGAGATTCATTTGAACTCAACTGTATTCTACATTGCAATGATCGCAAAGTGTCTAAACGTCTACATACAATACCGCACGTACATCAAACAATGTAACTCATGCAAGCGCATAATTATTTTACTTATTTTAGTCGTGTTATACAAGAGTCCCCTGTCTGAAAAATGTCGCGAAATTTCCATGCAATACAATATTTAAATTTTTATTCAGGATTTGGCGACGCGGTGAACTGCGAGGACACTTGGAAAGCGTGTTCAGCCTATATCGACGACCAATTTCGGCAATACTTCACGGACGAGAGCGGGTTAAATAGGAAGAATATCCAAGACAACCGAGTACATTGCTGTTTATATTTCATACCTCCTTATGGTCACGGGTATATCCAAGCATCTATTTCAGTGGTTCTTAATCTGTTCGAAGCCGGTGAAAGCATAAAATCGCCAATGCCATGAATTTAACAATAAAAAAAAAAAATGAGCGTGCACGTAGTCTTGCATATGTAAGAAATTGTCGACGTTTGAACTGTTATAACTTCGTGAAAGACGAGATGGTACAACAATCAAGCAGTATTTTATTTTAAATATTTAAATAATTAATAATTATAATTATATTTATATTATAATATTATATATTATATAATATTATATTATATAAATTATGTATTATATACCATAACTTATATATTATATAATATTATATTGTATAAATTATATATTATATACTATAACTTATATATTATATATTATATTATATAAATTATATATTATATAATATTATATTATATAAATTATATAAACTATATATTATATATTATATGATATTATATTTATATTATAATATTATATATTATATGATATTATATTTATATTATAATATTATATATTATATGATATTATATTTATATTATAATATATTATATTATAATATTANTATATTATTATATAATTTTACTAAATCTATATAAAAATTATATAAATTATTAAAAATATATAAATTATATGATTATTATTACATAAATTATATAATTATATAGTTTATCTAAATAATTGGAATTATATATTATTATATAATTTTATTAAATCTATATAAAAATTATATAAATTTTTAAAAATATATAAATTATATGATTATTATTACATAAACTATATAAATTATTATGTAATTTTGCTAATTTATCTAAATAATTGGAATTATATATTATTATATAATTTTACTAAATCTATATAAAAATTATATAAATTATTAAAAATATATAAATTATATGATTATTATTAGATAAATTATATAAATTATTATATAATTTTACTAATTTATCTAAATAATTGGAATTATACATTATAATTTTATTTTAATGTTTTTATAGTATTTATAATGTATAATATTTTCACAATGCAACGTTCATTTTTTTTTCTTAGATATTCTTGCATTGTGTAATTTAATACTACGTTTAATAACGTGCAGTTACACAGCTGGATTAACGTTAAATAAATAAAACAGACTAAAAAAGATCATACATAAAATTTCAAGTGTGAAGCGAAGACTTCAATTTTTATAAATATATAGCAGATTCATTTTCAATGTTTTTGCTGTGGTAATTCGCAGTATTTTCGAGAGAGAGGAAAGACGAGTGACGAAAATAAAAATTTCACGCTTGAAAATAAGTCCCGAGCGATTGTTGTATCGATTTCTTTTCACGAAGTTATAACGTCGTACGATTTTCAAACGACACAGATACTAAGTATCGTTATAGCGAAAAAAGAAATCAACAATTTATGACTGAAATAACTCTTTCGTAAAAAAATTTTTTTCAACTCAATTTCATGGCAAATTTCAGCAATGTCAGGTCTAACAATTAGACTGCGGATTTTTATGCGTTTATGATGAATTGAAAGATACAGAAACCGCATAGAAAGTACAGAATGCGCAAAAATATGTGAAACATCTCGAGCAGAGTATTCATTACAATACTTGTCGGATAAAACGAATTTTCCATTTAGATTCGTGAAAATTTCAAAACGCATAAAAATCCGCAATCTGCCAATAAATAATCCATGACACAGCCAGCCCCATTTTTTCCGTCCTTTTTCGCGTTTTTCGGTTTTTAGAACGCCCTAACGTCTGTCGAGTCGAGAAAATCGATACTGTAAAACCCCGTTTGTGTGAACTCTGCGGGAAGCAAATAGTTCACATAATAGGAGTCCGCTGATTCTCTCCCCTCTATTAGTGATTCTTTTCTTTTTTCCCTTCATATAACAACAGCTCGAGTACAAACAAGTATGAACGTGAGCGTGAGTTCATTTAACCCATTAACCAGTTTGTTCCGAGCAAGACTCGGGCAGAACATCTTTTATTTTTCGGTTATTGTCTATGAAATATACGACAGCGGTGAACAACTTGATCTGACCTTGAGTGTCTCCTGTTTTTTGAAGATTTATTTTGTAAATGAAAATTGTTCAGAGCAGGAGGGTTATTTTAAATGGAATGACATTGATCGACGCAGCTCGACATTGTCGAAATATTATTCATATAATATATTATTAATAAATTTAACATATAATTATTATTAATATATAATATATTATATTAATATTAATATTAATACATATAATATTAAATAATGTTAAATAAATATTAAATAATATGTTAATATATATGATATTAAATAAATATTAAATAATATGTTAATATATATGATATTAAATACATATTAAATAATATGTTAATATATATGATATTAAATAAATATTAAATAATATGTTAATATATATGATATTAAATAAATATTAAATAATATGTTAATATATATAATATTAAATAAATATTAAATAATATATTAATATATATAATATTAAATAATATTAAATAATATATTAATATATATAATATTAAATAATATTAAATAAATATTAAATAATATATTAATATATATAATATATATTAAATAATATATCAACATATATAATATATATTAAATAAATATTAAGTAATATATTAATATATATAATATATATTAAATAATATATTAATATATATAATATATATTAAATAATATATTAATATATATAATATATATTAAATAAATATTATTTATATAATATATGATGTTATTTTAGCTTAGAAGATATTCCAAGCCTAGCTTAAAATCTAAGAACCTTAATTCTGTAAATTCTGTCGTATAAAAGACAAGAAAATGTCGGGGGCAGTATTCTTGTGTTCATATCATCCTTGTCTTTCATGTGTAGATTTTATAAAATTGAAACATCTCCCAAAATAATAGCTCTTCGACATACGTAGATCAACACTTTTAGAGTAGCATCAAAAAATATACATTTAAAAAAGTAAAGATGACTTTGAAATCTTCGAAATTACTCCACTTACGAAATTATCATTTCCATGTTACGACTTCCTATGTACTAAATAATTTTTGTCAACAAAATAATAATTTTTTCCATATATTCAAACATAACGGAGATATTCAAGACGACTAAATTACATAGTAATTTACATTGTGTAATTTACATTGTTACGTAGTAATTACATAGTAATTTACATTTACATACGCTGTGAGTATAAATTGTATAAATTGTTAATAGCAAGGGAATTAAACTGTGTACAATATACAGAGAAAAAGAAAGACTCAGAATGAAAGTGTCTTGAAACATAAAATAAAATTTACACACTTTCTTCCACATATTCATTCATAATTCATAGTTTTATCAGACTGTCAAGGGATAAATTTTCAGTTAAGCTTGAAATTTGGATAAACTTGCGTTTTTTTTTTTTTCCAAGGAAAGATTCCATAACTGTGACTTGTAACAACCTCGCGAAACACCGGTTAAGAACCACTGATCCATTTATGTTTCACACTGTCTCGCGTTTACTCCCTCATTATCTTTTCTCCCCGCAGACTCCGACAAATTGATCTGGAGGTGTTAAAACGGCTGCATCGCAAAGTGAATGTGGTGCCTGTAATTGCCAAGGCAGACACGTTGACTACTTACGAGGTGAAGATGTTGAAAGACCGAATACTTGCCGACATCGAGGAACACGAAATTCAGGTAGTATTAAATTTACATTCTTGAAGAGGGAAGGAAGAACGGGGGGAAACGAGAGGGACAACATGAAAAGAAGATACAATGTTTTTTCACGTAGATATATCAATTCCCGGACTGCGACAGCGACGAGGATGAGGAATTCAAGCAACAAGACAAAGAGCTTAAGGCGTGCATCCCGTTCGCTGTGGTTGGTAGCTCAACGGTGCTCGAAGTCGCAGGGAAAAAGGTCCGCGGTCGCCAGTATCCCTGGGGAGTGGTAGAAGGTAACTAGATTTCAAATTTCTTCTCTTCAATTTTCAAAATTTTGGATGCGTGTCCATTTGAGAGTGAGACTGTCGAGACTATTTCTCATGAACAGAGGTCAAATGAAATTGTTTCATTTTAACTTTTACAAATATCTTCATATTTACTTTACATTAATATAATTATATATAATTGTTATTAACATATTTACAAATATCACTTATTTTACAAATATCTTCATATTTATTTTACATTAATATAATTATTATTACATATTTACAAATATCACTTATTTTACAAATATCTTCATACGTTATTTTACATTAATATTAATTATATATTTTTATTAATTTTGTATTTTATATTTACTGTCTTTATATTTATATTTGTGTCAAACTGTGTTTGTATTTATTGAGCTTGTATAATCACTTCTAAGTTAATTAGTTTTCTAAGTCAAGTTCTGTTTGCTAACGTTTTAAATTGGTAGTAATAGTTTTATCAATTATTTTGCATTTGAGTGTTGCACAAATTCCGTGCAGCATATTATTTTTTAATAGAAGGTAAATTTCAAACTTAAAAGTTTAAAATATCTTTTTTAATTAAGAGTCAACGTTGCATTGACGCAACATTTTATGTATTTTCAATTAATATATCACACATATTACCAAATTTTATTTTTCAATATTAGAACTGTGAAAAGAAATACCAAATTAAATTTTTAACAATGTTAAATTTCAAGAAATACTCCTTTTAGACTTTCTTGATTGATTGGTGGTGATCTAGTAGCAATAAATGGTAATTAATAATTTTTCAACAATATTAACATTCTTTATATCTTTTTATATCTCTATACATTAAATTCTTTATAACAGTAGATCAATACTACCATTTTATTCTGTTATAGTACTGTAATTATATTTTAAACGTCTCTTAAATTATCTGTATGATACTCCAATACAAACCAAACACAGGATCAAGAGGTCATTGTAAAAAAGAATTTCGATCTTCAATATAATAGATCTAGTCATGAAAAAAATCTTTCAGTATTGAGAGAGTTAAAATAAACTGAGAGAAATGGTAGAGAGTTTCTAATGGACACAATTTTGGGAATTTTCTTAGTGAGCTTTTAGCGAGTTTTCCATCACCTATATAATATGTATGTACATATAATATTATGTGGTTTAAAACTCTTCTGCGAAATGAATTTTATTTACATATTTATTATAATAATTTAATATTATAATAAATTAAATATACTAATATAATATATGTAGTACATATATAAGACATTAAACATACATATAATATAATATATGTAGTACATATATAATACATATAATATAATATATAATATATAATACATTAATAAACATACTAATATAATATAATGTAGTACATATATAATACATTAATAAACATACTAATATAATATAATGTAGTACATATATAATACATTAATAAACATACTAATATAATATAATGTAGTACATATATAATACATTAATAAACATACTAATATAATATAATGTAGTACATATATAATACATTAATAAACATACTAATATAATATAATATATGTAGTACATATATAATACATTAAACATACTAATGTGATTATAATATGTACTAACTAAACTGAGTTAATATTATAATAAATTATAATAAATTAAATATACTAATATAATGTATATATAGTACATATATAATACATTAAACATACTAATATAATTATAATATGTACTATACACTAAACATATATTAGAGAGAGAAACTGTCGAACGAAACTCACAAACGGAGACGCATCTTTACGAAAAGAAATTAGTCGCAAGCAAGTAGCCACGTCGAATGGGAAAATTAATATTTGACTTTCGATCGAGCGCAGTGGAGAACCCGAAGCACAGTGATTTCGTGAAATTAAGGACAATGCTGATATCGACGCACATGCAAGATCTGAAAGACGTGACGCAGGACGTGCATTACGAGAATTTCCGGGCACAATGCATTTCACAAATTTCACAGCAAGCCATTCGGGAACGGAGGTATTTACGCATGTAAATAAGTATTGCATTTCAGTAGGTATACTTTTCTTAGATGTACCTTCTTTCTCTCATTTGTTCGTTTCTTCTTTCCTATCGTATTGTTGTTGTTTCCCATAAATAGATAATACCGCTTCTCTGAGAACTGAATTTAATTTAATGCTCATCCGTTCTTTGCAACAATTTCACATATCTTTCTTATAAAATTAGATATGAAATGATATAAAATTGAACGTCTATACCTGAGAGTAAGTGCAATTGGAAAAACGAGTGTAGTCTGTTTTTATTGCTGATGAAAAAATTTACGAATTTGTTTTGTTTGTATTCAAAGGACAAATTAAGTTGAGAAACAAAGAATGGAAAGTCAATTTGTTTATTCAAAGGGCAAATTAAGTTGAGAAATAAGGAATGGAAAGTCAATTTGTTCCTTAGTGTCAAATTTCCACACAATTGTAAAAGATTGATACCTGATGATGGAAAGATAAGTAATTAGATTTTCAGATTCTTTTTATTAATAACAATAAGTAGTTTAAATTTCTCACTCTCACGTGTAAGTGTTTAATTTCATATTCACAATCTCACGTTCCCTAATTTCATCCAACATCATGATCGTTTGTTTTGAATTTTTAGTTGTTACAACCATGTTCAAAACGATAAATTACCATACACATCTTCGAAAAGATGCTGCACTGAACGCATAATTGTAGCATAATAATTAGAATGTCTGTTCGAAAGATTCGAGTGATTTGCAACTCTGATGGTACATTTCGTTATCGAAAACAATGAAAATATAGAAATATAACAATATAATAAACAATATAATAATAAATATAATAAATATAACATATAACATATATAAATATAACATATATGTTAGAAAAAAAGGGTGCATGTTACAGAGTGCTGCAAGATACTGTAACATTTTGTGAGAAAATATTAAAATGATGAAAATTGGTACTATCAGAGTTTTGAACAATTGGGATAGAAAACTTGATACAATAGAAAAGGATAATTAAGTATAAAAATAAGGGAATCGTCACTAGACTGCGGATTTTTATACATTTATGAAAAAAATTCATACAATGCACATATAAAAATATACAAAAGTTTGTAACATTATTATGTTATTTATTATAATATTTATAGTTTTGAATAAAGTTTTATAACGTTATTATGTTATTTATTATTATTATGTTATTAATATTTATAATTTTGAATGAAGTTTTATAACGTTATTATGTTATTTATAGTTTGATAATATTATTTATAATTATTTAGTTATTTATAATATTTATAGTTTTGAATAAAGTTTTATAACATTATTATGTTATTTATTATAATGTTGTTTATAAAATCAACTCGTAAATTTCATTAATTTCATTTTTTTATCTACGTTAAAACAGAAAAATCTGCAGTCTATTCATCACCAATTAATTGCTAATGAATTTTTTCTAATTTTATCTAGTTTCTATCTAATCTAACATAACAGTCGCATTACTTATAAAATGATCTAATATCAGTTTTTCACTTTCTGTAGTTTATAGCTCCTCCATCGTACGTTTCAGTTTGTTTTCCCTGTTTCATTAATCGGATCTGTTCCAAATATAATCGACTCTAAAAAATATAATTCTATTTTCTTTCGTTCACAGTAAACTGAAAAGGGACTCGGGCCCGCACTTTGAAAACAGTATATCCGATACGGACAGGCTACTTCTGCAGAAAGATGAAGAGGTAAGAAAGAAACGAAGGACAATAAATAACGTATTGCACAGTACATGGCGTTTTTCAAGCTCTACACGTTGTTATAATTTCATTATAATTGGCGGTACTTCATACTTAACTGAGAAGGCAATAGTAGTAAACACAAGATATAATTTTAGGAAAGTGATCTGTCGCTATGATTCTCAGTCCTTCAGTTATGTGTTTCCCAATACGTCCATTATTTCTATACTTCCTTACCTGTAAATGGTTCAGAATTATTCATCAAAAAAAACACTTCATCTTCATAGATACGAAGAATGCAAGACATGCTGGCACAAATGCAAGAGAAGTTGAAAGCCACGGGTCAAGTTGGTCCTGGAATTGGCCTGAGAGGACGAGTCGGTAGCCTTGGGAACGATCTGGACTCTACGGACGTCGAAAAGAAACGCAACAGTATTATAGATGTTTGAACTTCCCAAGCATCACGATATTACACATTAACATTGTCATTATCGTATTTAATTATGTTTAATTTAATTCTACGTGAATACGCACAAAACCATCCAATGCGTTGAAAAGGAGACCGAGAGATTTTATATGCTCCTGTATAAACGATTCGTTGTTATATTAGTAATTCGAAATTATCGAATAATTCAGAATCAATTGATTAATTAGAGGAGTTTTTATCAGTCGTGTTTACCAACGAGTTTTCACTTTTATATGCATAATACGTAGTTGCTTGAAAACATTATCCCATCGTGTAAACAATGTTTGATATTTCGTATTCACGACATCGAAAGGTTGTACCTACGTTGTATTGTACGTATAAAAAAAAAATATAAGGGAATTATAATGGAAGTAAACGAGAAAGAGCACTGTAGAAGAAAAAAAGACTTCGAATAACTTTCTTTTTTTCTTCGTTAATCATCTCAAGCACGTTGATCATCATTAGCGAGAGTATTGTGCTTTCGAACCAGTTTCTACAACAATAAACGCATTTTTTTTTTTTTTTTAAATAACGAACTTCGATTTCAAATATTTCACAATTCGTAAAGCGTCATTTGAACAACTCTGCGCCGAAAATGGCGAGAATTTTAACGATTCAGGAACTGTTACGAGCTCGCCAAACTGCCGCACAGCCAGAAAGGCGATGCGGTTTCATTATTAACGATAATTATAGGTATGGATTTGTATTAAAGTTCCCCCCAAATCACTGTGATTCCATCTCCATTTCGTTGCACCCGCACGTTGGAACGCAGTATAAAATCCACGGGCTTCGTAACGATAAAGTTATTTTCTTTCGGTGAGGACTTGCAAGATTGTGCCAAGTTGCTAATGATTCGAAAGGTTTGTTACCAGCGATTCACAGTTCTTTCTACGAATCTTGTCTCGTTTTTTTTTTTTTCTTGTCTTTTCTTGTTAACTGTATTACTAATAAAAGTAATAAAGTTCATAGTCCTGCTGCAACAGAGTACATAATTCTTACACTTCTGTAAATGTTTTCAAACGCCTAATTCTCAATGGATTGTTTTTTACCAGTTACTACTCGAACAATTGAAAAAAAATGTAAAAGATCTCTTCCGGCACAGGCACTCCTGTTAACGATGATATCGGTAGGAATTTTGAGCGAACCTCAAGGACCTGCCTATCTTCCACCTGCAGGGACTGGACCGCGACCAGCTCCCAGTGGCCATCCAGACGAATGGGCCGGTGTAAGTAGTACATGTTTCTTTTCTTACGTCGAAGGAATTATTTTCTTTCTTTTTTTACACTGACACACGTATTTCCATGCTCACCCAATGCACTGAAAAGTTCTCGTTTATAATTGAATGAAAACTCATTCAATCGTATAAAATGCAAATGACTCATCGTATTGCAATCATCGTATCTCGATGATTTTTATCTGTGATCTGTATAAGTACCTTTTTTCGTGTTTTTTTTTTTCTCTCGCTTTCGCAGGATCCGGTGAATTACGAATTTTCGTACGAAGTGGAAGACGCAGTAGCTGGCCTAAACTTCGGCCATCACGAGTCGCGAAAAGACGATGAAGCAACTGGAACTTATCACGTGCTGTTGCCAGACGGTAGAACGCAAATCGTTGACTATATTGCTGACGGTGGTGGTTATCGGCCAATAGTACGATACGAGGGAACAGCTACGTATCCAGCTCCAGCTCCAAGAGTATCTCCTGGAGGATCCACGAGTGAAGGATACAGATACTGAATAATTTAGTATGTACGACAAAACTCCTTTTTTGAAAGAAGGCGATCAAAATGTAATGAGAAATAAAGTTGAAATTTAGAAAAAAACGGTGCACGAAGAAACGCAGCTTGAAACCTTGAGTTACAATATACATATAATGTATAGACTTTCAGTGTATAAGCGAGTTGTGTCTTGTAATAAAAAACTCCAAACACTTTTTCATTGCTCGATTATTTTCATTGCCCGCCGTTCACGATGTTTTGTGTTTTCGAATGTACTGTAAGACTTCTTGCACATCTTCCTGCGATCCCAAAAATATCGGAGATCTTTGGTGAATTTTTTCAGGAATGATCTCCAAAATATCAGTTTCTCCATTTGACGCCAAACCACCGGCTTCTTTTAATATGTATGCCATTGGAACACACTCGTACAGAAGACGCAGCTATAGACATAAATTATATATGTATATTATATTTATAATATTATTTATTATATATAAATTATTATACGCCGACTTAAATATATATATATATATTTATACATACAGTGGATCCCAGTTTTCATAGTACATTCGAGTATGTTATACGCATAAATGAACCAAAAAGAAAGAATAATATTTTTCATTTAAGACTTCATTTTTGAGAAAATTAAGTTTAGACATTTCTTCAAGTATACTTGAATTTGATTAATTTGTATTGGACAGCAGAAGGCTAAATTTTGTAAAATTGAAAAGTGTAGAATAAAATTTTTGTAGTTTGAAGCTTCCAAAATAGATTTTAAATGTCTTTCGTTAAAAATTGGTATTTGATCAAATTTGAAATTTATTTTCTAGAAAATAAAGTCTTATGAAAAAATATTTCTCTCTTCTGTCATAATTATTCACTACTATCTTGTCTAAAATTAACCTAATTTAATCTTGGTAACATGATGTAACATCAATGTTGCGTAAGTTAAAATTACTGTGCATTCTTCAACTGATATTTTTTTCCAATTTCACCAAATGTAAAATTCGCATAATTTTTTGTTTTATTTCGAGTTAATTTTCAATAAAGTTTTAATTAATTTTTTCTCTCTCCTTTATTATTATGAATATAATAATTTATTTATGAATGCGATAATCTATGTAACACTGAATACAATCGAGCGTTATGCTCGTAATATTAACTATAATAATTTATATTTTTATATAATTTACAAATAATCTATACTTTATTTATATAAAAGATTTATATTAGTAATTTTTCTAATGCAGTATGAACAGAAATGAATCAATAGAAATTTTTGTGGGTAAATTAAAAGAAATATGATGTTAAAGATTAACTCCTTACAATTTTTATAAATTTTTAGAATAAACATTCCAAACTAATTTTAAAAAATAAATTACTCATGTGTACGACTATGCATACATTTGAAAGACTAGATGGCACATATTCATACTATTTTACAATTGAAAACTTGAGTAATCAAGTATACACTTGAAAAATTTTCAAACTCGATTCTTTTGAAAACGAGGCAACATATGAACAAATTTTCTTCTATGTTTTCGACTTGTTTCTCTACGTAGAATCGTCTCTTTTCCGATTGTACCATAAAATCTGAGACATACCTGCATAATTACAATAGAATAATTACAAGAGAAATGTTAACATGATTAATAATGATGAAGTTAAAACAGCAATTATACCTTGCCACTTGGGTGACTTTTAGTTGCTGGATAAAGAAATATCCCTCCATATTTTATTGTCCTGTGCACATCAGCGACCATTGAACCCACATACCTTGCACTGTATGGTTTCCCATTCTTAGGATATTTCTTCGAACGGATATATTCCTTAATAGCTACATCCCAAGCATTCTCGTGTCCTTCATTAATGCTAAAATTGACATTACAAGATTTGTCATTGATTAGAAATTATATAATAGCCTTTCTTATCCAACTTCCACTATCTGAATATTCTAAATGTTTTATTATCTGAGCAAAATATTTACCGTAGACTCTCTCTTATGTGTTACTTCTATTTTTCAAAATTCTTAATATTCGAATGTTATATATATTATAATATATATATTAATAGAATATCTGTTGCTGGCAGACACTCTATTCAAATATTAAAATAATGAAATATCTTATTAATATTCAATATTAAATTGAATATTAATTTAATAATAATTATTTAATTGAATATTAAAATATTCAAAAAGTAGATGTTCACATAAAAAAAATTCTAATATACTAATAACAGATGATCTTTTCTTCTGCTAATTTCTTTTATACGAGTGAAGCATAAATGATAACACTTCAATATCTTCTAGAAAAATAAACTTTGTTAATAAAAATTATTCATAATATGACAATAATGACTTTTTTATAGATACAGCATTCCGAAAATTTTCAAGATCAGTTCCATTTTTTTAAATGGAATGATGTATTTTTTAATGTAGCACGACATTCTTTATAAAAAAAAATATTAACTTATATATATATGTCGAAAAACTGTTAGCTTAGGAAATATTTTAACTTCTAATTTAAACTCTGTTGCGTGAAAAACAAGAACAATGTCCCTGTCCTTTCCATGAGCAACAGAAAAAATATACAGTTATTTCAAAACTTCAAGAAAGCCTGTAGGATATTGGCCACTTAATACCATTCAAAAATTACTTTATAAAATACTTTTTGCATTCTCATAATTAAAAAAAAAACTTTTTTAAATTACAAAAGAAAAGTTTGGGACTTACATTTAAATGAGATATATGTATACAAAAAATATATTATAGCATTCTTAAATAAAAAAATAACAATTTTCCTAATCTCGAGCAAGTTGCTGCTCTATTGTCTCCCTGTTACTCCGTATATGGAAAGCTTTATTTTACATAAATCTATTTTATTTTTCGATACCTGTAGATATCTCCTCTCGAAGGCACGCGTATATTTCTCTCAGTCAAAATAAATTCTCCAATCGCCGGGTCGTAAGTGAAGCCATTAACTCCGTGGCCAATCGAAAGTACTATCATGGTTGCAGAACCGTAAAGTGCGTATCCAGCGGCGACTAAATTTTTACCCGGTTGTAAAGCATTTGTCACTGCGGGCTCTCTTAGCTCGTTCGGTTTCTTATAAATTCCAAATATAGAACCAACCGATACTAAACAATCGATATTGGAGGATCCATCCAAGGGATCGAAGCACACGATATATTTCCCGCGTTTTTCACTTTCCACCTCGATCGCGTTCATATTTTCTTCACTTACAAGGAGGCTGGTCGTAAAAGAAGACGTCAACATATTCACGAACAACTCGTTGCTTAGCACATCCAATTTTTTCACCTCCTCCCCCTGAACGTTTTGACTTCCAGCTATCCCGTACCTGTTCAAATGAAAGAAATCATCAAAAAAAGAAGAAAGAAAGAATGATGGATGCTAGAAATGAATCAATTTGAATATTGTTTGTTTATAAATTTTAACATCCGTTCCTTGTATCAATTTGACACCATATTAAATTGGAAAAATAATGTAATTGGACAAGGGTATTAGTATTTGATTATGAAACGCGAAAATAATCTTTTAGGTTATATTGACTAAATATGCTAGTAAATAATGCTCATTGTATATCAATTTGATGAAGTTTGTCAAATACAACATGATCAATTTTCTATCAATTATGACAAACATCGAAACGAATCATCGAAATCGAAAGTACTTTTTCTAAAAAAGGAATTTAAATCTACTTGTAATATTAACAATAAACTTGTAAAATATTAACAATAAACAATAACAAAAAAATAAACATAATGAAATAAATTATTGATAACGATCAAGTAAAGATTTTAATTTATTACGTTGAAAAATGAACGAGATGTCGCATATAAATAATATAGATGTTTGTTGTGCAATACTGAAATTTATATTCAAGAATAACAGTGACTTTTTTTCTATATAAAATTTAAAAATATGAGAACAAGGCCTCATCATGTTTTAATTTGATAATAATATACAACAACCACGGGTTTTGTGTAAATATTTAATTACTTAATATTATACAATCATGAATTTTGTATTATTATGCATGAAAATAAATTGTATTGTTAAATAAATATCATATATAATTAAATTTTTAATATTGTATCATAACAAAAATAATGTATTGTAAATAATTTAAATACACAAATGTATTATTATATAAATACAAAATAATGTATAATTGTTATATGTTTCTTAAGATCTCTAATTATATAATTATATATCTCAAAATTTATACATGATTATGGTTAATTCTTACATGTAAATATTTAATTATATTTTTATTACATGTATTGTAATTTTTTTCTATAATTTAATATTTATAAAATAAAATTAAGTATACATATACTTAATATTGGAAATATAATATTAATATTACATTATTACAATATATACTTATATTAGAATATATATTAATATTTTATAATATATTTATATTAATATCTTATATTAGAATATATATAATATAATATTAATATTACATTATTACAATATATACAATATATATTAGAATAGAATTACAATATATATTTATATTGCAATATAAATTAATTATACACAATTATTATAATTATTCTACATAATTATACATAATTAATTACAAATATACTACTAATATTACAATATAAATTAATTATAAATGTATATTTTTTTAAATAGAAAATATTTTTAACAAAACCATCAGCATGGAATATCTGACTAATGTGTTCGATCATTTCAACTGCAATGATCTAATATTCTGAAATATCGATCAATTTAATACTTACATGTTTGCAATACCGGCTTTTCTAACTGCTGAACTAACTGCTTTTACAGCAGTTTGTATACTATTTAGAAGCTGACTTAGATCCCCCGTAGCGGTTGGTATTTTTCGTTGTTCAGCAAGTACGAATCTTGTCAATGTCATGCAGTCAGAATCGAAAGAATGATTCTTCGAAGCCATATTTTCCAACGGCAAATTATATTTGTTTGTCTATCCTATAACGAGCTAGCGAGCAGACTACAGCAAATACGTTTATGCATAGTCCTATATAAAGTCGTGAGACTTCTTGATATAACTTATCTCTTTAGCAAAAACAACCGGAGGAAATATAATAACACTAAGTTTATGTAATAATTTCAAATTTACGTTTCATAGAATTAAGTTGAAATTAATTTCAACTTGGAAGTAGCGAGTGAATTACTTTACGTTGTTTTATATCGTATCTCCAGTAGGAATTTACTGTAAAATGTTTCGTCAATCTTTACGCAGAAATTAACGATCAATTTTTATTCTGAAAAGACGATTTTTGTATCAAGCTATTCCTAAATAAATTCTTAAATATTAAGAATTTAATATTAAATATTAAGAATTTAATATTTAATATTAAGAATTTAATATTTAATATTTAATAATATTCTTAAATATTAAGTTCTATTTTAAACTTCCAAAACTTACCTACACCATAACATTGCGAATAAAATGTAATGTACAATGGAGTGCAACTTATATTGAAAGGACACAAGTAATTTTATTTTACAATAATGAAAAATTCGTTAACTTCTATGAGAAATTATTTATATCGAGAAAAATATAAGTATCAGAAATAACAAAACTAATAAATTAGCGTTAAGTTCTCTCAGGCCCGTCAAAATATCTCGATTTAAAAACTGAGTTATGTCACTTTCAAAATGAATAGCTCAATTATTTATAACTTTATCGGCTTATATGACCGATCAATGATCAACTTTCAACGATCGACCGTGCAAGGGTTATCGACATTGTGAATGTTCTAAAGTTAACACTCGTAGTCGATAACAAATGTGCACTATCATATATATTACATTAGATATATTATAGTTTTTCACGAAGCTATACTATGATAAGAAAATGAATTTTAATTTGAAAATTGAACAATGTTTTCTATCATTCAGTTTATAGATTTACTTTAAATTTAAAATCAAATGAATGAATATTTATCTTATTTATTTTGAGATTTATTCGTTCAAACGTGATAAGATCCTTCGAACGAATATTTTTATTTTTAATTGTATCAAATCTTCTGGCCATACGAAAACAAGAGATTCTGAAACAAAAACTAAAATTTTAAAAATTTATTACAATTATAAATTAATTTATTACATTATTTAAACATAGATATTAAAACAATTACGTATATTAGAGATTATTTCCTCTAAATTAATTATGTTTCATACAACACTATAATACGAAATTCTATAATAGCATAATACTACATCTATAAAAAAGATTCTAAATCGAACATTATATTTTGTACCTAAAGAAAATTGACAACTATATTATTTTACATAGTTTGATAAACAAAAATTAAGTTAAATATAAAAGTTAATTTATAAACATCATTATTTTGGATAATGTCACATAATATATCATTTTCAATGCATACACATATATATCCTGTCCAACGAGTCAAATAAATAAAGTAACTAAACTAGTGATTTGCGTTTTAGGGATATTTTGCACCATTATATATACTGCACTGTTGAATGGTGAATATTTAATTTAATAAATATATATGCTCAATCTCATTTGAAAATTTTAATATTTTACATACTTTCATCTAGACTAAATATACATACGATCTTCTAATTAATTTTCATGAAACTTGTCAAAATTTTGAATTGTGATTCGTCGAAATATAATTTTGAAAATATGTGATTAACATGTGGTTTGAAAATAATTCAATGTTTAGAATTTATAAGCAAAACCTATATTACAGTGAATTAAAAGATATATTGCAATATAATTACATTTGAATCAAAAATTTAAATTTAAATTTAGCTTAAATAGGTAAGATACATACATAAAGATATATACACATATATATAATAAATATATATAATGATGTATATGTTATTAATAATAATTATTAGTAATTAACATGACGATTATTAATAATAATAACAAAGATCAAAAATAGAGGAATTAATTATAATTATATTATTAATAAAAGAAATAAAGTCATTTAATTAAAAATTGTTTATATAATGTATTTTAATACTATCAATAAATAATAATAGTTTTTCTTAAGAGTAATATCAAATTATTTCTATTGTTTGCTTATGTTAAAGGTAATATAATGCAGAGATCTGTCAGATTGAAACGTGAATTTGAAAGACTTAATCAAAATCCTGTCGAAGGCATTTCTTGTTATCCAAAATCTGATAACTTTGAAAACCTTGTCGCAACGATTATTGGACCAAATGGAAGCCCATATAGTGGGTATCTTTTTCAGTTGTCGATAGATATATCAGAGCAATATCCATTTGAACCTCCAAGGATTACATTTCAAACACCTATTTATCATCCAAATATCGATGATAAAGGCAGAATTTGTATGGATCTCTTAAATATGCCACCTAAAGGTAGTTGGAAACCAACTATTGGAATAAAGAATCTTTTGGATGCTGTACAATGCTTATTAGGAAATCCAAATCCTGATGATCCTTTAATGGCAGATATAGCACAAGAATATAAATTTAATAGGCAGCAGTTCGAAAGAAAGGCAAAGCAGTTTATGGAACAAGGAAAAAACAAACTTTCATAATCAATCGCACGTATATATTTATTTGTATTTTTCAAATAGTTTCATAGTTCAAATAAATAATTAATGGAACGTGTTTCAAATGTATATCTGCTTCTTTCATTTGCTTTTTATATATTTAATATGTAACTTCCATATTGAATGATATTGTTTATATTAAATTATATTTAAAACTTTCACATTTGTTTTTCTTAAACCCTCTGAAAAAGCATATGTATAATAGATCATAATTTTTAAATAGTGAATAAATGTAGCTTGCAAATCATAATTTTTGCTTGTGAAATTCCATATTGAAGACAAAACGTAATTTAAAAATCTTTAATACTGAATAATAGTCTTGCAAGAGTAAATCTGATTAAAGCAGATTTCACAAATAGAATTAATAATGCAAATAAAATTAGCAAGAACATACAAATAAATTGACAAACAATATTTTCATATTGTCTAAAATTTTGATCACATTATATGACCTTGACATTTACACACTATATATCATTGGTATTTTTTTTTAATTTGTATACCTACATAAAAGAAACATTTAGTTTTTACTAGACGCAACATAACCTTGAAATTAATACATTTATTGTTAGAATGAAAATATCAATTAGTTGATATTTGCTTTTATAAATTAATTCCTGTTTGAAATAGTTTTTCAGTAATATTAATGGTACTAAATATTTTATAAATATTAATAGTATTAAATTAATTTTAAGGATAATTTTGAAATATATTTCATTAGAATATATAGATAACCTTTTTTTTGAATTAGCAATATTTTATTAACATTTCTTTATTCACAGTTTTTACATATTTTTTTATAATTTCTATAATTTAAAAAAATATAAAAACATTATATATATATAAATTAAAATAAATGTATATATATATTAAATTATGTATGTTTCTATAATATTTTTTATAATTTAAAGAATGATTTTTTTAAAGAATCATCTCCAAATTATAGAAAATTTAATTTACGAATTACATAAAAGTTATACTTATTAATGGAAAAAAGTATAAATAAAATTATCTATAACATATTTTATACCACCAATGAAATGTCTTATAGCACGTCTTCTTTTGCAAAAGAGTATAACTATTTTACTAGATGCTTAGAACGCCCTCTATAAAGAAATGCGCGTAGCTATTTCTTTAATAAACGTCGTTGAGTGGGTCTTCTCGTTTCGTCGGCGGAAACATATCAATTTGCAAATCAATAGTTTGTACGTGCAAGTAGTAGTCACCTATATATATACATATATATGCGTATGTACAAAGAGAAGTCAAAACAAATATAATTTAAAAGGAACAAATCAAATTAAAAAAGATCAAGAGATTTTTAGGAGATGTGGGACTTGATTCGGTCTCTATGGAATTTCTTTTATCTCGTGGAGAAATTCCGGAAGTTAAGTGAAGAAAGAAGAAAGTCGCCATTTTGTGCTCATTCAGAAGGATAAAAGACTTGGTGAATGACGGCTTGATTCAAGCTGAGTAATCTTTGTGTAATTATTGTTCCTTTGTTTTTTTCTTCGCCATTTGTTCGGCTCTGCCGTGTTAAACAGCGTTGATGATTGGGATTCCGCGTGACGATCGACATAAGATCACGGTCAAAATCCGCAACAATATGAAAAGGAGCTCCAGTCGCGATACCCCTCCGCGCGTCAAAAGAAGTAGATCATCAATGGGACGGTAAACATTTTTCTTGATGTATCAAATCTATTATAAAGAAATTATATAAAGTATAATCTCATCGTACAGTTTTTAGTACAATAAATGTTTATATATATAATATGATGTTTCTTAGAAATTTTGAAAGGAATATATATATATATATATATATATATACACACACGCGCGCGCGCGCGCGCACCCACACACACACACACACCTTTTAAAATATATATGTATGGTTGAAAATTGATCTTTTGTTCTACACTATAAAAGAAGTATTTTAATGGTGCTAGACAACTTTTAATTAATTTACAGATATGATGATTCTAGTGATGAACGAATTACTCCTGAAAGAATTCGTCGACGTAGTAGAGGTGCAAGAAGTCCGAGTCCTCCGACACGTGCCTCCTCTCATGCTCGTTACGTAGAATCAAGCTCGCATAGGGATGATTACTTAAGAGCACCCAGAGAGCTACCCCCAGAACGTCCGTACAGTTACAAAGTGCTTTGTATCAGTTCAATTCATCCAAAAGCAAGTGATGAAGTGATAAAAGATACTCTTTATAGAGAATACAAGAAGTTTGGAGATTTTTCTATTAGAATTTCTCATGAATTAGACGAACGTGTTGCATATGTTTGCTTCAGAAGTTCAGAAGATGCCAGAGATGCAAAACATGCAAAACCAAGAATCATTATGTATGATAAGGTCGCACTTGTGGAACCAGTTTATGAAAGACCTGATACTTATCGTCGCCCAAGATCAATCACACCACCTGATTATGAAAGATATTACGCCAGAAGTCCTGGTCCAACAGATAGACACAGACCTTTGGAAAGATATGAGAGAGTTTATGGTCCTCCAGTTGGTTTGCCCCCACCACATAGAGAAATGAGACGTGAAGCAATTCCTCCCCCTCATCATGAATTTGTTAGACCACCTATTCATCATGGCCCTCCTCATGTTCATCCTGGTCCACCTCATCATTATGGCCCTCCAAGACATATGATGATTCGACATCCAGTTCATGGATTTGAACGTGTGGAGAATAAAAAGGATAAATTCCCTAATTACTTGCATCATGTTTCTCCAGAAGATGATCCCCTAGCAACAAGAACACTCTTTGCAGGAAACTTAGAAATCAACATCACGGAAGAGGAATTAAGAAGAATCTTTAGTAAATATGGAATTGTTGATGACATTGACATTAAAAGACCTCCACCAGGAACAGGAAATGCTTATGCTTTTGTCAGATTTCAGACATTGGATATGGCACACAGATGCAAAGTTGAACTTTCTGGACAATACATAGGAAAATTCCAATGTAAAATTGGATATGGAAAAGCTACACCCACTACAAGAATTTGGGTTGGTGGTTTAGGACCTTGGACCTCTGTACCGCAATTAGAAAGGGAATTTGATCGATTTGGAGCAATAAAAAAGATTGATTATATAAAAGGCGATAGTAATGCTTACATCTTATATGATTCAATTGATGCAGCACAAGCTGCTGTGAAAGAAATGAGAGGATTTCCATTAGGTGGTCCAGATAGAAGACTGAGAGTAGATTTTGCAGATGTGACTCCTGGATTTGGATTTAAACCTAGACCTTATCCAGAAGAAAGTGGAGAATTTAGACCAAGACCAGTAGATTACGAACCGTCTTATGATCCTTATGGACCAGATAGTGATTTTGGTTATGGACCAAGAGGATTCAGAGGTCGAGGATCTGCTCCTTGGCATGAAAGAAGGGGTGGAGGCAGAGGAGGTTATCGCGGAACTTATCCAGAAAGTTACATGAGAGAAGAAGCTGATTGGTCTAGCCGCAGACCACCTCCAGAGTTAGAATATGAAACACCAAGAAGCTTACGTCGATCTTTATCAAGGGAACCTGGTGTAGACAGATCAAGATCAAGATCTCCCCGTAGAAGACAAATTGATTCTGATTCAGATTCAGAGAATACTCGTAGTGGAATGCTTTCTACTTCCAGAACATTACCTGAAGTGGCAAGGAAATCAATAGCAGTTTGGCAAGGAGCATTAATCTTAAAAAATTCTCTATTTCCAGCTAAATTCCATTTAACTGATGGTGACACAGAAATAATTGAGGCCTTGATGAAAGATGAAGATGGGAAACATATGTTGAGAATTACTCAAAGATTACGTTTAGATCAACCAAAATTAGATGATGTGTCAAAAAGAATTCAAACTTCTAGTTCGCATGCTATTTTCCTAGGATTGGCTGGTTCAAGTACAGTTATATCTACAGATGATGCTAATGTTCAAACCAGACCTTTACGCAACTTAGTATCATATTTAAAGCAAAAAGAAGCAGCTGGTGTCATTTCACTTCTTAACAAAGATACGGAGGGAACTGGGGTGCTTTACGCGTTTCCACCTTGTACATTCTCTACAGAATTATTAAAACGAACCTGTCCAAGTCTTAGTGAAGAGGGACTTAAGGAGGATCATTTGGTAATCGTCGTTGTTAAGGGTGGTAGCGCTTAAGTTTCCTTGATAATCACAAATTAAAGCATATACATGTATATACTGGCTAAAGTATTTAGTACCATATTTCAGATTAAAAATAATTTACAGTTTCTTAAATACTTCATTTGGGATATAAGATTTTATAAATTTATGATATGAATAATTGTCTTATAATTTTTTTTTATAAACTATTAAATTTTACATTACAATTCCAGTAGAAAAATTTATCAAAATGAAAACAGCAAAAATTACATAAAAACTTATTATTTAATATAAATTTATTTATAATTATAATAAAGTTTATTTTATTATTTAAAAACTGAAAGCTATAGTAAAAATTTAATAAACCATACTTTGAAAAATATTGAAAAAAATATAAAAAATTTAGAATAAATATATACAAATTTAAAAAAAAATGATACTAATAAATGTTATAAGTAGAATAATAAAGAATAATAGTTTAAACTATGAAAGAAAATGAAAAAAATAAATTTTGGTATTATATTGGGGGAAAATTTTTATATTACATAAAGGTGAATAATTTGTTTTCTACTTTTAATTTTGGATGTTAGAGATATGAAGAAGTTACTAAATGCACAAGCCTGTATATGCGTAAAGAGAAATAAAATTATTATGAATCTGAATTGCTAAAAACAAATTAAGTTATATTAACAACAACAATAATAATAATAAATAGTAATAATAAATAATAGTAATAGTTCTAGTAGTAGTAGTTGTAATAATAATGATTCTACACAAATAATTATTTTAATTTTTAATTAAGTATATTGATTAGTTTTTAATATTCTTTCAAATATTACATATATAATCTTAATTTTCTTTAGTAGAAGTATTCATAATTTTTAATATCAAAGCAATTCAGAATTCATTAAATTCTAAGGAAACACTTAATTAAGCTATTTTAATTATAAATAATTCATAAAAAACTTAGGTTTAATTTGTACTATATAATCATATAATCTGTTGCGCAAAATATACACACATACACACACGTATGTATATATATACATATACGTATGTGTGTGTGCGTGCGTGTGTGTGTGTGTATATATATATTATATATATACACAACACAGTTCTTTCATATTCACATGAAATTTTCAAAAATATTGTTTTCAAAATTTCACATTGAATCTTCTTTTATGATACATTTTAATGGAGGTAAAAATGAAATATGAAAGGTCTGGCTGAAACTATATTTGATACAATAATTAAGTCTAGTTAATTGTAAAGCTGCATTTTATGATTATGTAGAATTATTTGTGTGATACATTCAATACTTATGTAAGTGAATTGTGCGGACGTGTTCTGAAAAGTGAACTGAAGAAAGTGAATGGACAGCATCCGTAAATAGCTTTCTGTGCTTTTCTCCCAGTGAAAGAGGACAGAACTAAAAAAGACAGTGTTTGGTGATGAATACTTGAAAAGCATAGAAGAAAAAAAAAGCAGAACGTGTACAGTGAAATGTAAAAATATCTAAGTGTTTGTGCTTGGCGACCAATACTGTGACGCTCTTTTAAAATACTATTTTAAAAGTGCGTTATAGCATGGCGCAACCAAAGGTGCAGTGGTTTAATAATACTATAGTGTCGGAACAACAAATAGATGACTATTATGCTGAGTCAATGCATTCATTATTCCTACTTCACCTACCAAAGTTTCAGTGGCGTCAAATTAAAGTAAAGATTGTTACATTAGAGATGTAAATAATTTTAACGGGAAGATGCATTAATAATTTCAGTGGCATTTAAAGATGTAACAACTTATTTAATAGAAAAAGAAAATTTCATAAGAAGAAATATTTGGTTAATTTCAGTGGTATCAAAAGAAAACATAATTATTACATAGAAAAGTTATCATATCTAAAGCTTCAAAAAAAATGCATGTTGTGACTTGGTCGCATGGGTTGAACACAAAGTTTTCTCGTGAAGTTTGATCGTGAATTTGGTGGTGTGATTTTCTTTGTTTTGTCAAGAAGATCTTTCTCATCTTGCTTAGACCAATTGTGTAATTAGTGTTGTCTGTGGTCTGTGGCCATTTTTGGTTTTCTTAATTTTTCAAAGTAACGCATTGAAGGAAAGAATAGCATTCCCATGTCTTGAATATTGTAAAAACAATTGTGCCAAATACAAAAGTGACAAATGGTCGGTGCCAGTCGGTTTTTAAAGTGTTTCTTTTTAATTCAGATTTTGTAAAAAAAAAAAATTCACCTTAATTAAAAAAAAAAAAAAAGATTTGTTTCAGAACAACCACAACGAAAGGATAGAAGGATAGAAGAATCCATCTTCACTCCAATGTATTTAATACATATACAAATAAATTACTTAAATTGGCAAATATTTTAAAGCTCAATTTTTTTAATACTGGGAAGGTATATGAAAAATAAAATACACACACACATATATATAAAACAACCCTTTGCCTAACATTTGAAGAAGATATTAATAACACCACCTGACGATAGAAGCAAAAACAAATTTATTTTAAACAACAAAAAATTTATACGTAGAACAAACTTGCAACATCACTGAAATTCTAAAATTTCATTGTTCAATTTTTCATTTCAAAGAATTAGTCGCAGTTATTGAAATTTAAGGTAACAATTATAAATTTTATGCCCTCGGTTACGTAAGTACGTAATTAGGTTATTCCCTCAGTTATATACGTAATTAACCACTAGAGTCAATAATAAGTTAATGAATTAACGAAATAAAATATACAAAGAGATGAATAATCTTTTCTTTCACATATAAAGTTACTATTAATTAATAAGACCAGCTTTTAATGTAGAAAATTAATTTATGAAATTTGATATTAAATTACTCTATCAATTCGTATAACGTATTCTGGTACTTACGAAACGTAATTAAAGTTCAATATGAAAAAATTGTGGAGATGAATTAAAATTTTTATTTTTTAAATATTTACAAAATATTAATCTCAAAATTTTAATATCAGTGTATTTATGGACATTCCAACGTTTAAAAAAACCATTATATTGATTTGCTACGATAAGATTTTGTTACTTTATTTCAGCAAAATATATATATCAATTGAATTTAATAAAATATAATAAAAGTGGAATATGGAAAAATAATATTTATGAAGTAATAATTGCTAAAACTATTTATTAACATTTATCTTCATTCTACGTTTTTGTCGATTATTTTTGTGACATAACCTAAAAATTAAAGGTTAATATGCTCAATTTTTCAATCAGAAATAACTTCAAATATATTTTCAAGTATCGTATCAATTACAATTTAATTTTTGAGTTTTTAAAATTGTTTTGTCTTTTATTTGTTTTTACTGTTCCTATATTGTAGCACTACAATAATAGCGTAATACTACGATAAATAAAATGGAGTTCATATTGCACTTTCGCAATTATTTCTACAAATAAAATAAAATTAACATAACATTAAAATAATATTTTTCTATATCAAATCCCCTTTAGTTAAATCTTTACATTTTACTACAGATTCATATTAAATACATACACTACTTATTTCACCATACCATGTGCAATAAAATTAGCAAAAAAAATATATATATTAAATTATCTTTTCTAAACTGCAACTGAGACGGAAGAATTTGAATTATCTTTATTGTAATTTTAAATTACAATTGCAATACTTATTGCAATTTCTATTAATATTCACATTATAAAATTATTTCTAAACAATCATTTTATAAAACAATTATTTCATAAATTTTAAGAAAAAAAATTAATAGTTCAAAATTTAACACGTAAATGACCATAAAAATTTCATGTTATGTGGAAAATTGTTAAAAATTAACATAAATATAATAAAAAGAAGATAATATTTATACATATATATAATATAAGGAAATTTGGAGTGCATCATTTAAATTTTCTACATTAGTAATATGTATACACATAAATTTGATATTTTATATTCAATGTTCTCGATCTCGCATACTAAAAGATAAAGCACTTTATCATTAAACTTTGTTAAATTATATTAAGGGATTTGAATCAAGATAGTAACCTTCAGCAAAATATGTTAACAGTATAATACTAAACAATCTTACATTGGTCTTAATTGGAAAAATTAAAAGGAATATACGGATAACCACAATATAAAGGCAATTAAATACTGACTGATGTGCACAATTTAAATGATTATAAAATAGTACCTACGTGACTTAATGTATGTGCATACATACATATACATATATTTATGTAAATATACATACACACATACATGCTCTAGCATGTGCGTGTATATATGTATATATCCATGTACTCAATTGTTCAGTTTTTAAGGTTCATGATTTAGGAAAGTATCTAAATAAATATCAATGTTACTCTTTCTCTTATTACTTAAAAAATACAATTATGGCATCGCAGTATGACTGAATATCTATAAAAATTAGAGTCCCTTTTGGCATTCTTATTTTAATTGCAATCATTGTAAGACTTCCCATTATAAAGGGGAGCTTACTCTTTCCAGTCTTTCTTAATTTCAAATGACCATTCCCACTTTAGATGTTCGTGTTTATCATCATCAGTAAACAAAGAGCTTACACTATAAGAACCACGTGCCATTACTCCAGCTGGTGCATCTTCCGTTGGTGTTGTGTATGATTGAATTTCTGTTTTTGGAGGATAAGAACCCACCATATGCATCATCTTGTCCACTGAAAGAATGACATGACAAATAAGTAGTGAATGTATTAAGTCATACAAATAATTGTCATACAAATATTTTATTTTAGAAGTACCTGTGACACCTAAAGCAGAAAGCATTGAACAAAAATCAAAGATAATAGTTTAATATTACTTCATCATTTAAAGCAAATATTAAATTAAAAATTTTAATCAGCAATGAAAAAGATATTAATATTTTATCTTTCTATGGAAAGTTTACCTGGTACACCAAGACGATAAGTTTTTTGAACATATTTTAGACCATGCACAATTTCACGTTGAACAATGAAATCAATCCTGATTCTGTAGCTAACACCTTCTTTGATTACGAATGTTTGTTTCTTTAACTGAGAGAGGTCACCCGTTAAATCTAATTCCATATCTGGTCGATCAGCTACACAAAGCGCTAATTTTTTTACTATTACTTTCCTGGGATCATTTGGATCTATAAAATATTATCATTCTTACTTTGTTTCTTTTCTTCAGGATGATTTATTTTAAATATTTTTATTAAAATGCGCACCTACAACGATGCCTCCAGACTTTGCCTCTCCCAAAAGCGTTTCTTTATATTTGCGTAAACTTTCATCTTCTTTATCTGTTTCTAGAATTTGTTCTATTGTTTTTTCTGGTGGAGGTTTGTAGTTAGATTCCACTTCTAATTCTTCTTCTACAGAGTCAACGTGATCAGTATTAAGTTCTGACATGTTTACTATGCAAAAACACATTGCATTAATAGCTTAAATATTATATTTCAATTACTTTGTAATTAATTCTACATTATGGACTTCGATAAATATTTTGACTCGTTTGACAAAAATAGTTTTCCATTCAAACTGGAAATTTAATTATTAATTTCAGTCAAAAACTGATCAATATCAGAATATCAATTTTAACAGTAGTAACATCACATTTAATTAACAATCAATTTTCAAAGTTTGAATATTAGTACAAGTACATTATTTATGATGTACACATATCGCCTATGTAGATACACTTCTACAGAACATCTTCAGAAGATTCAAATATTTGAAAATTTGATACAAATTAAGTACATTTTGTCTTTTTCCAATATTTTTATACCATTAAGAAATATTGAGCGATTACTCGATTGTAAAATAAGTGTGTGCAATATCGAGACAAAAAAGTGACAGAAAGATAAAAAATGTTTGGACAGTTACGAAGCTAAAAAAAATTCATGAAAAATATCTTTATCGGTTCAAAGAAACAAAATGTTCCAAGAGCATGCTTACCAGAATTACAAAATAATAAGATAAAGCTTGAAAAAATGAAAACTTTCACGAAATTATTGGCAATTTCTTAATCCTGTTTGCCACCCCTTTATGATTCGCTTTCTGAAAGCGGAAGACATGGACAATATGGCGTCTATAAAAGGGCGGGTACTTCCTGTTTTCAATACTCCTTTAAGGTTAATTTTTTTTTCTATTTATTTATTTATTACTTTTCATTGAGAAGAAATAGTTTATTTGCATTTTAACGCGAGACTCTCCAATTCAGTTAACCTTCATGTTTATTCTAATATTTTAATAACTTAAATGTCACAAATTTCCGCGTATTTCTTATATATACACGAGTATGCTTGTTTTTAATAATTAACAAATCGTTCACAAGTCTTCACTGTCTTTATAGAACAATAAACTTTGTTATTTGTTGAAATCTTGTATAAATAAAATGAAATAATAATTTAAATTGTTAATATAATTTATTTTGAATGAATGAACTTTTCGTTTACAATAAATAATTCATATACAGAATACAAGGGATATTATTACCTGTCTTAACTTTACTTATTAATTAAAAAAGACTGACAGTGTTCTATTAATATATCTATATCTTTTTGATTTCTAAAATTTGTTTTACATTTTTGAAGTTTCTGATGTAGAAGTTCTGGATGCACTTTGGCTAATTCTTTTAATTTGCCTGAAAATTATTTTATACGTAGCAGTATTATAATTTCAATATTGTATTATATATATTTCAATACTAAGATACATTGTTAATTTATGTATTATTACCTAGTACAATATTTTGAAATTCCTCTTCGGGATCATCCAAATATATTATAACTGTAGTATACAAAATATCTACATGTCCTTTATTAAATTGCAAGTCATAATCCTTAGATATTGCACTCCAAACTTCTGTCAGAGCTTCTAATGCTATTAGTCTAACATCATCGCATCCATCATCAAGTCTTTTCAAAAGTACAGGGTATATTTTGTGTATGCATACTTCTCCGAGGTAATCAAATTCTTTCCTAATACACATTATCAAATATATAGCTTGCAAAGAATAAAATCTATTTTTCCTAGAATTATCATCTGCAAGACTAATTAAAACAGGAATTATTTTATCAAATGTCGAACAAATATTTTCTTCATCATCATTTGTGATTTTCTTCATAATAAAGTCTTTCTCATATTTATTTAAAAATGAACATAAACAAGATACCGCGGCAGTACGTATGGCCTCGGCGGTTCTTCCTGCGCTCCAAATCAATTGAGGAAATATGCAATCTTCTAAGAATTGGTTCGAAAATTTTAGATCTATAATTTTACTTACAGATCCTCGGTCAAAATATTCTGATAATAAAATGAAAAGCTTTAATCTCAATTCAGGATCTGCCTTGTTTGCCGTAATCTCTTTTAGAATTGGTAAAATAATGTCCATATTATAAGCTAAAATTTGTTTGATATAAACTAAACATGCACAAAAAATTTGAGCTTCTGGATCATGAATTGACCATGATTTATAATCAGAAAAAGTTGAAAATAATTGCTCAATATATTTATAATATAACTCTTCAACATTATCAAACGAATTAATATTAGCAAGAATATTTAATAATTCTTGTGCTTTTAAGTTTACAGAGTTTTCTTGTGTCATGGATAATACAGTGAATATTATTACAAATAATTCCTTTGATATAAGTTTGCAATCCTAAAATTTTTTTAATACATTAGTATTACGTAAAAAATAACAAAATTAGAAAGGTAAATATTTATAAAACAAACCTCTTTGCATACTGCAATTATAGAAGAACAACAAGAAAGTATTTGTTTTTGATATGCTCCTTTTTTACTTTGACGAATATGTGGTTGTTGTAAAAATTTTCCAATATCTTCTAATAATGGAAGAAGTGTACAATGTTCACTACCTTTTAAAATTGCAGAAAATATTTTTAAATGACCTACAGATGGAGTATCTTCAAGAGTAGGAATTATCAAATGACAGTAAATTTTTGGAGGTACAAAATATCCTATATATTCCGCTGTCCTTTCTATATTTTCTACAACTCTATTATCGTCATCATTACAAGCTCTAATAAATAGTTATTAATTATAAGATTAATTAAAAATTAATTTGGTAATTTATGTATTAGTAGTTATACTTTTACCTATACATAGGAGGTAACAGTTTTCCAATATGCTGTATCACATCTTCCTCTATATTTAAAATAAATACACAAAGTAGTTGCGCAGATCGTACTCGTATGTCTGCAATCCAATCTCCTAATTCTAAGCTAATTCCATTTATTAATTTACTGAAACATTGTTGTGCTATTGTACGGCATCCTAAATTTGGTCTAGTAACTGCAATTTATAACAGTATAACTAATGTCTAATCGCTGACATTATTTTAATTAATTTATTAACTAAACATACGATAATTAGGATAATGACGATGATCTTCAGTAAGAAAATCCAGTTTATTTTTCAGTTTCTCATCATTTTGATTTTCTTCTATATATAATTTTCCTACTGCATCCCAAAGATCAGTAGCTTTTTGTCTAATTTCTTCTAATTCATCATGTAGACCTGTTAAAAGTAGTGGAAGAATTTTGTGCCACCAATTATATCGATCTTTTAGGTTTAAGAGCCAAAAACCTGCTACTTCTATTACAGCTATAAAAACATAAAATAATAGATAATTATTATTAGATAAACAATATTAGATTTGAATAAAATTAATGAAATACCCTTTCTAACAAGACCATTTTGATCAAACAATCGTTCTGCCATAGGTGTAGTTACCTCTTCTATAGATTTGCTATTTCCATACTGAATTAAATCTCCAATTGTTTTAATAGAAGCGATTCTTATTTTATAATGTTGGTGTTTAAAATTACTTAGAATTGGTTTTACAAAGTTTTGTGATTGTGTATAAAAATATCTTGATAAATTTTTTGCAAATTCAGATATACAATCACAGCTTTCTTTTTTAACAAGTGGATAATTATCTGCCAAAGTTTGTACTAAAATTTTTGTTAAATCAGCAATATATAATGCCAATAAGTTGTCATATTTCAATATTATTATTTTTAACAATATAACACACTTCAGTCTAACTTCTTCTGAAGTTTCTATTTGTTCAGAAGAACCTAATCTTTTGGATAAAATTGGAAATAAATACATGATATACTTATCATCTGGTATTAAATTAACTATAAATAATTTCATAATCTCCAGTGCTCGATCACGACATTCTTCTACAAAATCATTTAAAATTCTCAACAGATATTTATTTACAATATTCCATAATTTTAAAATTTGTTTTTCAGATTGCTCCAATTCTAACAATTTGAAAATTTCTTTCAAACCTTGTATTCGCCGTTTCTTTACTTCTGATTGTAACATAACGCAAATTCTAGTAAATTCATTATTTACAGTTTCCACAGACATTCTGAAAACACTTAAAATATTTTGAAAGTTTTAAAACATTTAGAAGCTGCGAATTTCGGAATTATAGTTGATCTATTGCCATAGCAACACTTTTATTGATCCATTTATCTTAATTTACGAATTATATACTAACATATATACAAACAATTATGTATATACAAATTAAAGGAGAGGAAGAGATTTACATTATTATTTCATATGTTAATGTAATAATTGCCATATCTTCAAATGTAGTTATTATTTGTCAAGTATGTAGAACAAATTTTACAGGTCAAAATGTATAATCAAAATTTTTTGGTCTATTTTATGTAAGTTTATACATAAACTTAATATAAACTTAATATAAGGGAAATGTCAAATAATTCAAATATATATATCTATATTGAATGGGACTAGCATGATCAATTCTCCTTAAAATAAAATAATAGACAAAATTTAATAGATATGTCTTGCATATGGTCCTCAGATATGGAAACGCTCAGTGTGTTTAAATGTATTATTTCATGTGATTTTTAATCTTCTAAAGTAACATTTTTAAATAAATATGACATAGACTCTTTATTGTGAATACGTCTAATAGCCTCTGCCAGCAAAATACTGATATCAACAGTCTTTATTTTGGGACACTGCATCTTTTGAACGTCGTGAGGAACTGTATTTGTAACAACAACCTAAAAATAATAATTATAGATTTAGATTGTAAGAACTCTTATATATCTTATTTAAAAATTCTCACTCATAAGTCTTAAGACTTAAGTTATTATATTTGAATTCAAGTCTGAAAAAAATGATATATCATTGAAAGAAGTGAATGAATTTTTCCTCATTTAAAAATATACGTCTCAAAGAAAGCTGCTTCGTATATAAGAAATTTTACCAAGAAATAAAAAAGTATTGATATCCTCTTTTTATCAAAAAATCTGTGTTCCTTTATTATTTCTTCCATTATTCTTGGTATCGATGCGATAAATTTTTTTTATACTTTTTATTACGATACTACGTTCTATTCTCATTTTGAAATAAGTTAATCATAAAACTGAGTTTTCAGCTTAAGACAAAATTTTTGTATCTATTAATTCAACAGTTTATCCTACAATTTTTCAATTCGATTAGAAGTTGGCTTTGAAATTATTCTAAGCAATAATTCATTCTGATAATGTAGCACTTCCTGAGATTTTTTCAGTGCTTTCCTATTTATCGACATTATAATTGCATTTATATTCGAATCTCAATAAACAATTTCAAAGCTTCTTAAGTGACCGTAATATTTATATAAACAGGAAAAGATTAGGAATTCAGAATATTTTTGTGTATTGATGATAGAAAAGAAGGTATTATTAGCCAAATCTATTAGATGTTATAAAATAATGCAAATAAATTTTTAAATATAGTAGAAATAATAAATCTTCTAGAGTTATTAATCTTCATTTTTATATTGTCTTTAACTAAGATTGAACATACAAAGGTATATGAAAATATGTATCTATCATAATATATATCATAAAATATTGGGATATTAGGTCCTAAGGTTTATGAGTGATAGTACAGCTATATGCACATATGTATATAATCAATTTATGGAATCGATTAAATATCTCGAAAAATATAAAAAACTTTAATAAAAAATTTAGATAAAATATCAAAGAAACGTTCCAATATTTATTTAATTTTTTACCAACATTGAGTCATCAAATCTATATTTCTTATAACATATAATATTAAATGATATTAAAAAAATATATAGATAATGTTTTAATATTTCAATGTCAGCCAAAAATATACATTTTCATTTGAAAATTTAATTATGACAAGATCATCTTTTCAAGATATTCACAAGATCAAATCTTTTTAAAATTAAATAAATATGAATAAGATTAATGACTCTTAATATCTTTTAATTCTCGTGTGTAACATCGTTTCTGCATCGTTCATATTTTTTTTTTTTGAAATATTTAATCGTTTCCATTTTAATTGTGTATAACTTATGCAGTCTTTTAAATATTACATTACCTCATCAATTGGGGATTCTTCTATTAATCTTGGTGCATCAGAACTCAAAAGTCCATGTGTAGCTAAAACATAAATTTTATATGCTCCTCTTTCTTTAAGAACTTCTGCTGCAGCTACGTAAGATTGAACATCATCTATCATGTCATCCTGAAATAAGAAAATTTTTAACACAATTTTCTCTTTTTCTAATTTTCATATTTAAATCTACATACCACCATAATAGCTATACGTCCACCTACATCCCCTACAACATTAATTGGAGGCTTTTCTTTTGCAGGATGCATTGGCACACCAACACCAACTTCCATTGTACGTGAAGCCAACGCAGGTGGAGAATAACGTCCATCATTCATATCTGACTCTGCTTCTCGCTGCTCTCCATGAATAACTGCTATACCTAAACGTAATCTCTCTGCGTAACTTGTTGCCTTCTTTGCACTACCAGGATTTCTTGCAACTATCACTGAATTATGATAGTCTGGTATCTGATTAAAGATAAAATTCAAAGATAACACATAAAAATTTACGATAGCCATCTCTAATAAAGGTATTTACGCACGGATTCTTGAATGTACTGCAATAAAAATGGACTGGCACGCAAATTATCCACTGGCACGTCAAAAAATCCTTGTATCTCTTTTTGATGCAAGTCCATCGTAATTATATGCGTTAAACCACTTTTACAAAGCATCTTTGCTAACAGTTTAGAAACTATACAACCTCGTTTACGCATTTTGCATTGCTTAGAGTAAGGCAAGTAAGGAATGACGCCAACGATATTCTTCGCAGAAGAAGTTTTACAAGCATATGCCATAATCAAAAGCTCCATTATGTTATTGTTTACATCTTTCGTTCCTGTTTGAATTATGTACAGATCTTTACTACGTACGGAATCTCCAATTTCAACCATAGTTTCACGATTTGATTTGTGATACACAGAACATCCTCCGTGTTTAACACCTAATCGACTGTTTTAAATAAAATCAAACAGTTATAATCGTGATAAGTGATCATAAACACACACACATATACATATAAACCTACTTGGCAATAAGGTTAGCTAATTCTGGATGAGAGTTACCCGCGATGAGTACAATATCTGAGGATACAGGTTTGTCCATATTATATAAATGCTTCTGAAAATTAAAAGAATATAATTTGTATAATAGAAACTTTTCGTAAAAAATGTACGAAACGATACATTCTTATTCGAAATAAATAAGAATCAGTCATTCAACAATGATTTAGCAATGTACTTAATATAAATACCTTATAGTTCACGATACGATAATATAAAATATTTATATTAAATCACGTTATAAAGTGTTTCGTATGTTACAAATTAAATTATTCTTCATTTATTTATGTGTTACTACTTCGCTAATCCTATTGATTAAATGCTGTTAACTTACGTTAGAATGTACGGGGTCGAATCGAATTCGATCTAACTTTCTTTTTCTTTATGCTTCGTTTATGTTAACCTTTGTAGATTTACTGTTTCTTGAACAGCTGCTCGATTTCAGAAGTACCAACTTATCGACAAACGATAGATAAAATCAAATTGCAATGAAAGGTGCTAAATTTTTATTTTAATTCTCAAAATATTCGTTACTTCAGAAAAATGTAATAGAGTGTTATTTTTTAACATCTTAATTTTTTCTTTTTTTTTAAATTCGAACTATCGTTTACTTATGTCAGATACTTTTACATGCAATATGGTTACAATAATGTTACAATGATCTAATAAATATTTAATTCATGTATTTCTGTAATTTGTTTGTATTGTCACGTAGAATACATTGCAGTTAAAAAGTTATACAGTAATAGTATTTATTAAGATATTCTAAAATTGCAGTGATGAAACCTAATTTATTTGAATAGGGCATTTTTATGTCAGTAGTTGCATTATAAGTCATGCGCAATGTTATGGTTTTTCGTGCTCATGAATACATGGAAATTAATTTTTTCTTGAATGATTATTTTTAACTAATTATATTGGTCAATCGTAAAGTGATAATGTAAAATAATGTAATTAAAATAGATTATAACATACAACATTAAAATAACAATGACATTACATTGTATTTTTATTGATGTGTTTCTAATACATTAGCATTACACAATAAATAAAGCGAGACTAATAAAGTGATGCTAATTTTCCAGAAAAATTTAGAATATTCTATAATTTATGTACATACATATATTTATATACATATATATGTTTTCTTTTTTTCAGATAAAATGATGCATACTACAAGAGCAGATACTTCTGAACGAAGATTTGAAATACAATGTAAATTAGAAGCAGAGATTGCTTCTTTAGAAGCATTGAAAGAAGCAGAAGAGCGAAGTAGAAAATTAACGAACAACGTTGTAGGAATTTTATCTTCTTTAGAGCAACGACTTGCTACATTACGTCGTACTATACTTCCCGTTTATAATGAAACAGGAAATCTTCAGGCACAACAACAAAGTATATCTTTATATTTTGATAAATATAATCTATACTTTAATATCAGATCCTTCTCAGCAAATTATTTATACATTGGCCTATCTAGTTCATAATCTTTAGCTTGCTCAATTATTTTAGTGTTAATTACGTAAATATTTTAATTTATCATACGATGATACAATTTCATTCATTTCTTCTTCACAGATATAGAAATGACACTAAATGCATTAGATCATGCTATTGGATACTATGGAGTCTGTCAAGAAGTAGAAGCTACAGTTCGAGCTGGTCCAGGAGGATCCGGAGGATTAGATAACTTTTTAGAAGCGATGAATCGTCTTTACAATGCTCAACGTTATTTTCAAAAAAATAATCCAAGCTCTGTAGAATTAGAAAATGTAACAAGTTTATTTGTTGTTGGTTTAGATGCTTTATATGCAGAATTTCATGATATTTTAACTAGACAAAGTAAACCAATCCTTCCAATTGTTCTGTTGGATTTAATTGGATCAGATGAAGATACTAGTGGCGAGGATGCCCCTCAATCTCTTTGTCAATTACCAGAAAGTATTTTAGGAGATTTACTTAAAATTGCAGCATGGTTGGAAGAGAGGGGACACCGTAAACATGTAAAAATTTATGCGTCCGTACGTTCTGCTATTGTTTTAAGATCTTTACAATTATTAAAAGAACATCAGAGGAGTGCTAGTGGTGGTAGTACACATACAGGAAGTCCTTTGCCAGTAAGAAATTCATGATAACATATCTGTTCTTTTTTTCTTATGAACATTTGCAATTTAATAATAGTTATATTGCTATTTATAGAAGACAAAATTTGGACATAGGCATTCACTAGGAATTCAAGAAATTAGTGGGAAAAGAGCTTCTAAAAGATTACAGCATGCTTTAGAAAAAAAAGCTAGTAGAATGTTGTTAAAAGCTTCTCAAACTACTGGTTTGGGATTGTCTTTAACTACATCTAGGAAACCACCACCACAATTATCTGGACATTCTGTAGAAGATACAGCACCAGATGAACAAGAAATGGAAAATTATTTGCTGTTAACTGTTGGTCTTCATAAACTTATGCAAGCAGAGCGATCACTAGTTGCTAAAATTTTACCAACTAGTTTGCAAGCACAAGTACTAGAAGCTACAGTACGTGAAGCTATGGATCTTGTAGCTCATGATGGAGAGAGTATAGCAACTCGTGCTAAGAGATGTATTGTAAGACGTGATTTTTCTGCAGTACTAGTTATCTTTCCAATTTTAAAACATCTTGGAGAATTAAAACCAGATTTGGAACGCACTGTTGAGGGTTGTGATTATGCCCTTAGATCAAAATTTACTTCTGTACTTAACACTCTAAACATAACTGTATGTATAACAATACAATTCACAAATATAAATTTTATTTTAAATTACATAGTATATATTTTAACAATATAGGGAGCAAAAGCATTGGAAGATTTTGCAGAAAGTGTTAGAAATGAATCCAACTCAATTTTACCTAAAGACGGTACTGTTGCAGAAAGTACAAGCAATGTCTTAGTGTTCTTGGAACAATTAGCAGAATATGCGGATACAGCAGGAGCTGTACTAAGACGTAGTGCTGATATGGAAAGTGCAACATCTATAAAACAAACGGAAAATATGTATAGAATTGTTCTTGGCACTTATATTAGTTGGTATTACTTTTTCTTTATGTTTAAATATGTTATAAGATTATAGAACTTATCGATATTATCTTTTTAGAAAAAGTACTAGCGCAACTGAATTTGGTACTCGTTAGTAAAAGTGATACTTCATATTCGGATGTTGCGTTAAGAGCTCTGTTTCGCTTAAATAATCATAATCATGTTATAAATGCTTTACGTCGTAGTTCCTTAATGGAACTTTTATTATTAGCAGAACCTAGCGCAGAACAAACATATCATGATCTCTTGTTACGTGATAAGGCTAACTATGTTTCTACTACATTTGCAAAAGCACGTGCTTATCTTGAACAACCATTTGATGAACCAGGTTTGTATTTTGAAAATTTCTAAAAATTTTATATTAAATAAAAAAAAATGTTTTTGTAATAATATTTATTTTGAATATAACATTGACTATTCGTAATAATGAATTATGTAAAATTAAAATACACGTAATTATTTAATATAGTTATGGCAGTTATAATGATATGTATCAATCATGTAATACGTAAGTAAAAAAATGTTGAGAACAATTTTTGTTATTTTACAGAACCAGGAGCAAAAACTTTAAAGGAGAAGTTTTTAGGATTTACAAGAGAATTAGAAGAAGTTGCAAAATGTCAACGATCTTATTCTGTACCTGATGCTCGATTACGAGAAGAATTGCGAAAAGAACTTCAACAAGCTATTGTTCCACTTTATACGAATTTTCATAACAAGTATCGAGGAATATCATTTTCCAAAAATCCAGCTAAATATATAAAATACACTCCGGAACAAATATCTATATTAATTGATACATTCTTTGACACAACGGCATAATGAATAAATAGAAAAATTTAATAAACACCCATTTAATAAAGCTTATTTAGTTACAGTATCTATGATATTTTTATGGACTGAATCCCCATTCCCCGGATAGATTGCACAGGTCAGTGGATCTGCGACGATTGAAATAGATCTCGGTCCAGCCCCACTTTATATATATTTATAATATATATATAAAAAACAAGTAACGTCCGATTTAGATTTAGCAGCTTATACATGTAAAATGATAATGATAGGAATACAGTTTGGACTTTTACCACTTATGTACAATTATTTGTTATAGAATAATTCCTTCTTATGTCTTTCTCTCTTGGCTTTTGTATGCACTATTAAACATTCATTCATACGTACTATTTTTCTCTACCTCTGATATTTTATTTTTTTATTTATTTTTTTTTCTTTAACCATGTTGTGCGTATCAATTACAGTAAAATTGCAACAACATGAAAATACAATAGAGATAGAGAATTGAAATCACACTTGTATCGCTCATTTCTAAAACTTACATGATTATCTTATTCCATGGTATGTATATAGTAATATCAACCAATTTAGTTGAAGGCAAAAATCATTTCATGTTCCTTGCAACTGTATATTTACAATAAAAAGTATAATTTGAAATTGATTTACAATTAATCAGTTTCATTCGAAATTATCAGCTGAAAAAATTAACTTATCTCAAAAGTAGAAACAACTTCTTAGTGCATAATATTAATATTCAAATATTTTTTACTTTAATATCGTCATATCAATCGTGTCATATCATATCGTAATATTATAACATCAATCTCTTTGTATACCAAAAATTTTAGAATGTGATTCTAAATCTAAAATATACAATACAATTTACATAAAATGATTTACCTCTTATGTTAAATTGATTAGTATCTAGTGCGCTCACAAACGCATATACATAATAATGTTTAATTTCTTATAATTCGTATGTAATAACTAATATTAATAACACACTCTAATATACTGTACATTATCAGTTCAGTTTTCATTTGGCTTCCTTTCTCTCATCAGAACATTTAGCTAATGTGTACACTTAATGTGAACACTTAAATTGCATATATTTTCTCCTTTATCTTTTTTTTATACGCATTATATAAATTGATTTGTGCGCTTTCATGGCAGATGCTTGTAAAGAGATGGACCGTACAACGGGGTTTTTTTCAATAGAAGTTAGATGTCCTGCTGCAATCAAGTCCGACCGGAGGAGGGATAGTACATTTGCACATGCTCCACCGTCGTTGAACATTTAATATTATAGAAGGAAACATCTACGTTTTGGTTTCACTTGAAGAACAGGACACAATACTGCACGAATTGCTTCATCAAATACTGTTTTCAATCCCTTTTGAGTAAGAGCTGAACATTCTAAATACTTTACAGCACCAATTTCTTTTGCCATGGACAAACCCTAAACATAATTAATGAAATATTAATAAGTTGTTACAAGTATAAAATAACAATAGGAGCATAGTTAATAAATACATGCCTGAGGATATGTAATAGGTGCTAGTTTTTTATCTTTTAATCGTTCAATCGTCTCTTTGTCCTCACGTAAATCTAATTTAGTCCCTACTAAAATAATTGGAGTAGCTGGACAATGATGACGTACTTCTGGATACCATTTAGCACGAACATTTTCAAAACTGGCTGGGTTAACAAGAGAAAAGCAGATCAGAAAAACATCTGTCTGTGGGTAAGACAATGGTCTTAATCTGTCATAATCTTCTTGACCTGCTGTATCCCATAAACCAAGATTTATCGGTTTACCATCCACCATGACATTTGCAGAATAATTATCAAACACAGTCGGAATATACTCCCCAGGAAAGGCGTTGGTAGTGTAGCTTATGAGGAGACATGTTTTACCTACTGCTCTGTAGAAATTAATCAATTAAAAATAATTAAATTCGACCATACAAAAAGCTCAATGGCGTAAAGGTTAATGGAACATAAGTAAAAAATTTTTGCATTATCAAAGTAAAAGTGATAAAATAACATCAGTTCGAGTGAAATTTTAATAAAAAAGGAGAACAGGAGAAAAGAAAACGGTAAAAGGTAAAATTTTGTGGCGACAAATTACTTGGTTAATAATTAATAATTTCAAGTTAAGATATCCCGATTTCCTTAATAATTTCCAACAATAAATAAAAATATATATATATACACATTAAAAAGAATAACGGGTGTGGTACTAGCTTTTAAATAGTTCTTGATCAGGAAAAAACCAATCGCCAAGGAATACTTTGATGATTCTTTAGACCAAGTAATGCAGATCGAAAACAGAGAAAGACAAACATATCGCGAAACATTACAGTGGGTTTTAAAATACTCACCCGTCTCCTACGACGACACATTTAATAGCTTGCATCCTGAAGGTTGGAACCGTTCACAAATAGAAATATCTACGTAAATTCGCAGGAAGGGAGGCTAGTTCGATTCGACAGAACAGGAAAGATCAAGAGAGATGGACAAGGAGTGGAAACGTCGTGAAACAGAAAGAGAGGACATAAAGGAAATAGGTGCAAGAGAGATAAATAAGTAGTGTCAAAGGTAAGATAGAAAAAGATCATGAAATGGAAAAGACGTGAATGAATCAAAGGAAATGTAGAGACACGATTAGTAGGCAAAATGTTGGAAGTATTTGCGTGAAAATGTAGACGTTGGGATTATATGATGTTATGATGTTCTTGGTATCCTTGTTTTGTTGTAGAAAACGCAGTTGGGGGTCTTTCGTTGAATGCAGCACTCCTGACCTCAATATGTGGCCCCAATAATGAACGTAGACTTGAAGGTTTTATTTATTCTACGAGAATCAAAACGCTGTTTCTATGTTTCCAAGCAAAGAAATTCGAACAAATTCTTTATTTATTTACTGTGTATTTTAAGGACACGTTCAATTGAAAATTACTTGTTTAAATCGAGGATTAGATGCGTATGAAATAATAGTTGAAATGACAACCAGTGCAGCGTAATACATTTGGAGGGGGTTTTTACGCAGCTTAATAAAATTCACACGCATATAATGCAACAAAACTATGGGAATTTCATATTGTATATATACAAAACTCGTACGCTATAAGTTGATACACGGCTGATAAATTACAATATTAATAAATTTCTTTTTTCATTGAAAATCTGTAATATTTTATTGCAAAATCTGTTACAAAATATCTTTATTCAATTCCGTAATTGCGATAATAATCAATAATAATTATAACAATAATATTAATATAAAAAGAGGCAAGAAATTTTAATTTCAATAAATATAAATGCATACTTTCAATGAAATAGTATAAAATAATCATTAAAAAAGTTCACGTGTTAACGTGTATAAAAATATAAATATACATGTGCATATATATTATAGATAATAAGTAGTATATGCAATAAAAGAATACATACACTTGTATAATTGAACTGATACTATTAGTGAAATTTTTCATCGTAACTTGTATTAATAAATTCTCTCTTCTTTTCCTTTTTTAATAAAAAAATAATTTATAATTTTTTAAATTACCAATTATCGTACTTGTAAAATTCTACAAGAGAAATTTATAATCTATAATTTACAAGTTGTCAATTCACTAATTGTTATTAATTAATAAATTATTATACAAAATATTATTTACATGTTTTATATTAGTCAATAATAATTTTTTATAAATGTATAAAAATATTTTTTATAAGTCACAATATTATTATTATTATTATTTAATATATATATTCTCAAAATTACAAGGATCAGAAATACATATTTTTACCTGTGAACTCTATTTGTTTGGTTCATATATTGAATATAATAAAGATTATTGGGAATGTTGTATAAAATAAATAATATTAATTTATAGTGAAAAATATATTTAATATAAGTTTGTAAAATGTATAAAAAGGGGACTTGACTGATCAAATTCTTTGTATTTATAATTTGTCCGTATCCAAGTCTAGTTAAAAAATAATGAAATATATAAAATAAGTTAAGAAATACGAATGCTATTTCTTCCAATTATTGTTATTAATCCATTACTTTGTAATTCTCTTAAAGCATCTTCAAACATATCTCGGGTAACAAGCTAAAAAATACGACAAGTTTTAAAAGTTCTCTGAATTACAAGTGTTTGTACATTACAATAATTATATTTATATATATGCTTCTACTAACCAATTCAGAGGATTGTTTTATTTCAGCAAAAATTTTTTGTTGATTAAGCATATGAACTTTATCCTTGCTTTCAATAAGTTTTTGAATTGCCTCGCACAATTCCTTCCTTCTTTTTCTAGCCCCTGCAGATATACCTGTAGTCAGAATAGTTACGTCTATTTTTCCACTTAATGGATCAATTGCTGATTGTTTCAAAGCTTCTCTGTGCAACCTATCAATGAAAAATAGATATTTAGATTTACAAAAGTTATGTTGATATTATTAGATATTACTCATGATAACCTCCATGCTTCTTCAACATCTTGCAACTCCACAACAGAACTCAATCGTACTTTGGCATGAGCTTCGGATAAACGTATCAATGATTCTAATTGCCTAGGATACGCTGTTATTTGTCCACGCCCTCTTCCAACTCTTCTCATATCAACATAAGCTTGTATCAATCTTTGCTGACTTTCTTCATTGAGGACAGGATGAACATGTTCTTTTGCAAACACTATATAATCGCGAACAATACTCATGTTTATTAGCTCATCTTCATCTTCTTCTATTGTTTTATAATATAAAGATACCATATGAGTTGCAAGTTTACTATCATATGTTTCGTCTTGTGGATCTAATATTAAGAAAATTAAATCAAATCGAGAAAGAAGTGTATGTGGTAATTTCACATTTTCAACCACCTAAAAATATGTAAATATTAAGCGTATTCATTTTGTAATATTATTAATTTCATATACTAATTAAACCTAGCTTTATTAGTATATGAGACCTTAGATTATTCTTATTAGTAAACTAATTATTAAATATTTTTATTCAAAAGTAAAAAAAAAATATTGAATACAATACAATGATTATATGTAGAGATAATCTATAATGTCGGAAATCGAAACAGCAAAAGGTACAAAATACTTTTTGTTATTATCACATAAAATTCTTTTAACTAGAATATTTTATTATTCTTTCAGTTAAAATGAAGAAAAAATAAAAGATTTCTATTTTATGATTTCTAAATTTGCCTTAAAATCCATTAAAAAATAAACGAATAAATTAATTTTATCATAGAAAATTCAAAGTTACTTTGAAAATTTCAGAGGATTAATAAAAAGTTTATTATGATAATCTCTTTTATGGAAAAAAACATGTTTTGATAGATTTCCTAATAGAATAATTTAAGGTCTTTTATATAAAATTAATGAAATACATACAGTTTTATTCTTATTCCACTGAGATTCGCATGGATTAGCAGCTGCAAGTATACTAGTTCTAGCATTTAATTGACAAATAATTCCAGCTTTAGCAATACTCAAGGTTTGTTGTTCCATTACTTCATGTAATACCGATCTTGCATTTTCATTCATTTTATCAAATTCATCAATACAACATATTCCATTATCTGCAAGTCCTAAAGCTCCTGTTTGCAATATCAATTGTCCAGTTTCTGGATCTTTTGTTACATAAGCTGTTAATCCAACCGCACTAGAACCTAAAATAGTTGTTAATGTACGGACGTAAATAAATAATTTAATTCTGTTAAATTGTTTATTCTTATTTTACTTTACCTTTTCCACTTGTATATTGAGATCGTGGTACCAAATTGTAAATATATTGCAATAGTTGTGACTTGCTTGTACCAGGATCACCACAGAGTAATATATTAATATCAGGTCGAAAATGTTTGCCATATACGGTAGAAGTTTTCCTAGTCCCTCCAAATAATTGTAATATAATTCCCTTTTTTACATCATTATTTGCATATATACTAGGAGCAATATGTCTTGCTAATCGTTCATAAATATCACCCTTTTGTGACAACGATTTTAACATTTCTATTCTTTCTGGTGTAAAGTTATGTTCTTTTCCATCTTCTTGATCATATAAACTACAAATGATTTAAAATAAATACTCGATAAAAATAAATTTGAATTTAGAATTTATTAATTTTCTTACCGTTTAGAGTCATGTTTTCTAAAATGAACTACATCAATATAAGTTTTATAAATAGCTTGTAAATTATGATCAAAATTAGGTTTATGCGTTGCTGCTCTATAAATTCCAGTTACAGAAACCCTATCTCCAGGCATCACTGCATCTACTAAATTATTATGTGCAAATAAAACAATAGTATGTGGAGTCTGTCCTTGTGGCATCTCGTCTGGAGCTTCTTGCAACTTAATCATTTGTTTATCAGAGAAATGACTCAAATTATGTACTAAAGTGAAAGAATATTTATGAGTGCAATGTGCACACACTGTAGGTTCTTTTGTTTTCCCTTTTTCAATTTCTACAAGAGTCGTAAAAGCACAGACGCTACATTTGAAATAAGCCTCGCGCATTTGTGGAATTAACCGAGATACTCTAATTACCATTCCTGGTATTGTAATTAATTGATCTACATCAGAAGGATTTAATTGCCTCATAGTTTTAATCTTAGCCACATTAAATGGTCGCACTTGAATTTGATGCTCCAGAACTGCTGCAGGAAATTTTTCAAAAAATAATTCATTTGCTGCCATATCCAATGTTGGAATTACTTCTTGAGGATACGAAACCAATTGTTGATAAAGAACTTCGTCAAATGTTTTTATATGAGCACAATTGACATTTAAATATGGCTCTTCCAAGGTGTGTATCTCTTCTAATTTTTGAAGATACAAAGGTTCTGATAGATTCATATTTTCTGGCAATTCATCATTCTCTGCATCTGGATTAATAAATTGTTGAAAAAATAATTTGAATTGCTCTTTACACTGATTTATTACTACATTTGTTCCCCAAACAACTAGATGTGGGCCTGCCGTATCACTTTCTGATGTACCGTTTGGTGCTTCTGGAACCTATTAGCATCATCATTATTAATATTTAATAATAGTTATTATTATTTGATATTAATATATTATAAATATTTTTAACAGAAAATATAAATTATTTTAACGGACAATATTAATCAAATCACAAGCTTTTCCCATTTATTTAAACAATTCTATTCTTTTTAAGATATTTCTTGTTTAAAATATTAAAACTCACTGAAGATTTTTCATAACGATAAAATTTATCTATAATAAATTTACAAAATAGGTTTAAAATTACAGTTAATTGTTTTAAATCATTAACTTACTGGTTCTTGCAATGTAAATTGACGTAAACGTCTATCTGTATTAATGTCAGGCCTATGCCTAGCTGGGGTGCCTCTAATTCCACTTCTTGGAGTACGAATTGATCCCAATGAACTTGGCGTACCATAATTAATTGGTGAAGACAACTGCAGACCACTTTCTGAACCGTTAATTGGTCCAGAGTGGTCTGTGAAATGATCAGCAGAATCGACGGCACTCTCATGTTCAGAAGAAGCAACAATCGTGGCAGTTTGATTGCCAGATTCTAAAATATTCTGTCGCACACCAGTGGTACCCCATCTCAATGGAGTTTCTACATTATTATCACCTCCACTATGGGTTGCATTACCTTATACACAAAGTTTACAGAATAAATAGATAGTTTGTTAGATTGTAAAAGTATACAAATCACATACAATAATGTAATGTTGTATATATAAAATAGTGTATATACAAAATATACAATGTATAATATACAAACAATATACAAATATCATACAAATACAACATAATGTAGAGAAATGCAAATTTTAAATAATCTTGAGGATATTCACTCACGAGGTGTACCAAACGTAGAAGGAGATCTAGTACCCTGGACTTGTCTTCTAGGAGTTTTTCCAGGGCTATCAGTGCCTGACACTCTCGCAGGACTCGACATTGTTCGCTGTATATTTTTGATATGTTTTCCCGCGCTTGACGCCTCTTATCATAGAAGACTGATAGATCAGAGTAGTGATCAAAGCTGAACTGTAACTGTAGTATAGCCAAACGAAGTTAGAATCTAGTAACAAAAGATAAATCTCTATTAGATTACTCGAAATTAAAATTAATGCCTATTTTAGAGCTAATCGAAAACGTTGAAACATAACGAACAATATGCAACGATTTAGTAATTGACTAAACTTAAAATTGGCAGATTCTGTTACTTAAATATAAAAATTCGATTTACATTTTTGTCTCCGAGCTTATTTATAGGTTCATAAATCCTCTTTTTGATGTCGATTATACATGAAATATTATTTTATTCTCCTTATCTTTATGTAATTCTGTGATATTATGAGACTATATAGTTTTATTAAAAAAAACTTATAATTACAATTTTGCACGATAAGATTGGTAATTTTAGACATTCTGATTTCTCGCAGCGCGAAATATGAATTGTACATTTGGCGGCAATATAGTTGCTAAGACAAAATCTGGGAATTAAACAACAAATACATCTATGATCAGAATTATCTCTGCAGCCGGTTTGCGGGTTGCAATAAATTCACAATTCGCCGCTGTGATAATTTACTCAATTTTCAATTTTTTTGCAATTCACTTGTAAAACTTGCTGTGTAATTTTCTTTCATCAATTTGTTAAACTTTGAATGTCAGGCGAAAATAAATATAACAACGTAAATGTTACGATTTCTTAAATTTTCGTCATCTAATATTCAAACTTCAATCGCTAATTCAATAGCAAATTTTTAACCATGATTAATAGGTTTAGGGGAAAAGTGTGTTATAAATTTTTATAGAAACTTAATAACTGCATCGAATATTCCTCTGAAAATTTTATTATTCAAAAAAAAGAAATAATTTCATTTTTTAGCTACGCCAATGCATAAAAATAGGTACATTTATTTCCAGATTATGCTTCGTCCGATACCATTTAATTTTGTTTCACAAAATTTTTGTCTATGTCTATCCATTTGAAAGATGCAGTTTATCCCTGTTGTGTGGGACAACGTTTGTACATTGACACTTCAAACATCTCATATTAACAATAAATATTTTTGAAACTTTCAGACACGTATTTTTTTTTTTATCTGGTAATAGTAGTACTCAAACAAGTAGTAATGTAGCTACTTTTTTTACATGGAAATATAGAATATTTATCTTCAAAAGAATATATGTATAAATGGATTTCCATTTTAAAACAAGTTGTAATTTTAAATAAGTTGTAAAATTTATTAGATATTGTGGAACAACATTTAACATACATTTGTACATACATTTGTACATTAATACATACATTTGTAAGATATTGTGATATTACCCATTAACAAAACCTGAACAAGGACAATTTTTTACATTACAATTGAAAATAAACTCACCATATGAACTAATATCTACTATGAAGAAGTTGTTAAGAAAATTTACGGAAAACTTTTAGTTTTAATGCAGAAGAAATCCAAGCGAAAACAAAAACCTTAAATCAACAAGAAGACGAAATTGTTGAACTGTTTAGCAATTTGAGCAAAGAGATTTTATCTAGACGGAATTAGAAAGTATATGAAATATGTAAACAAATTAGAAAAACACTGTTAATATGATTAAATGCAAAGTAAATAATACAATTTTAAGAAGATTAGATATGCTATCAATTAGAGCTGTATTTTTCCCAAAAATTCATAAAAACTTTTATGTGTTAACTAATGACGTGTTAGAGTTAAAATTAAATAAAATAGATAAAAATGAAATTGTGGAATATGACTTTTCAATTTCAGTTCTTCAAACTGAACATTAATATCAATATCAATTATACATAATGCTTTCAACCTGATACGATGTAACATTATAATAATGATATAATTTTTTTTTCTGTCTGTATAATACGGAGAAGAAAATCGTAAGGCAAGAGGTTAAATAAAAATCTTGAAAAATAAATTTGAAAAACTGCAAAACAGAAGTGGTGCAATTTCGAATATCTGATTAATTTGCTATAACTGATTAATCTGCTTTAAATTTACATCAAAAAAAACGAATCGCATGATGTAATTAATTGATCATTTATAAAAAAAAATAAAACATACATTTTTCCGTAGGATTATATAATTATATATTGAAATATAATGGAATATATTTTTTTCCAAAATACAATATGTATACGAAGTTTCAACTTATATTTGATAAATCAGCTATTAGTTTTATAGACATAGGAAACATTGAATTTAATTTTTATTCTAAATTATTTGCTTATTTAATTGATTATTGTTTCAATTTTTTTTCTAGTTTTTTCTATATATATATATATATATATATTTAAAATATATTATAAAAATTTGTATATAAAACATCATTATAGAATAAATCATATAATGAGATTATACAGGTTATCACCTCACAGATTACAAATTGCAGATGTAAAAGTTATTCTATATAAATAATTTAAAATACAAGATAACATTTTTTTTATATGCATGTAAAGTTAAAAACTTAAAAGTATACTTGAGAATACATTCAGGAATAGAGATAGTTTGGGTATATCATAGAAAACCTCTAATATCTGTCATTTACTTAATCAACAGAAGCTTATCTCATACCAGCAGTTTATATGGTGCAATTGATCTTGAATAATTGATAATCTTTCTAGTATATTTTAAAGTGTTATGCAAATTTATAGTAGACATTCAAGCAAAGTGACTTGTACATTTTATATATATGTACAAATAAACAAGATTACTGAAATATTCGCCTTACTTACTGTTATATAAAAAAAACTTATCAGAACAAAGTTACATTATTTCAAAGATTATACATAATGGTATATGACAAGATCATTTTTTTAAATGAGATTTCATCAGTATATTTTTAAATAAGCTCTATATTTTTTTATCTACCAATTAATACGTTTTTTTAAATTCTTTATAAAATTTGATTGATTTCATCTAAAAACAAAAAGTCTAAAGTTCTAAAGCAATCTAAAACAAACAAAATATCTAAAGCAATATTTTTATATGGCGCATATGTTTATATATTATTGTTACTGTATTGCTATAATACTGTTATAATAATGAATTGAACATCGTTTTACGATACGTAGAAAATATAAAATATTAGATGTGGACAATTTTTAAAATAGTAACTTTGCATCTAAAACTGCTATTTTCGAATTTTACATCTAAAGCTGTCATATGTACATGCGATTTAAAAATCAGTTCAAAATGAAGTATATTCAAAGATTATATTCGTATAAATTAAAACGTATATATCATATTAGTCATTAGTTATGAAAAATCGTACATATTTATATATTTTTTACGGAATTCTGTAACACGATAACTGAATAAAAATATGTATATATACTTTTATATATTTCTTTTATAAAAAAAACTTAGTAACATATAAAGCAACAAATAATGTATATAATTCATGTAAATACTTGCTTATTAATCTTACGAAAAGTTATCTTATTAATGTTTAATTCTTTTACACTTAAATTTTTTATTTACCATGTTCTCTATTGAATCTTATTTTCATTGTAATTCGTACAAATCACTGAATATTATAAAATTATATTATTAAAGTTTAAATGTATATTTAAGTAAAAAGCAATCTTAAATTTTCTGTGAAATATTTATATAGTTTATTACAAATTACACTTTATGCAAATATATATATTTATTTTATTATAATATTTTACATTGCCTTTCTTGAAATAATTTTAAACTAATGTATCATAAACAATAATAATACTTAGTAGCCATTCAATTCTTTTTGGATGTCTCCTAAAGATTTCCCTTTTGTTTCAGGAACTAATAAGTAAACAAAAAACATTCCAATAACACAGACTACAGTAAATAACCAAAATGTAGGACCAATACCAATTGCATTTGTAAGATTACTGAAAAATTTAGTTACAGTAAAACCTAATACCGCATTTAAAAAACAAGCACTACTTGCAGCTACACCCTTAACTTCTGCTGCGAAAAGTTCACCCAACATCATCCATGGAAGTGGACCAAAACCTATATTAAACATAATAATAAAAATACATAAAGATGTCGGAGGTAGCCATGTAATAGAATTTACATCAATGTCATTATCCAATAGATAAAAATAAATTCCAAGTACAAAAGTTGCTAAACCTGAACATATTATAGATGCTAATAGCAGTATTCTTCTGCCTACACGATCTACAGTTAATGTGCTTACAAAAACAGCTAATATTTGCATTGCGCCTATAATAATAGTCAAGTAATGAGAATCTAAAGTACTACCAGCCTTTATAAAAATGTAGTTAGTATAAAATATAACAACATTAACACCACATAATTGTTGAAAAAACATAAGACCATAGGCTACTATAAAACCTTTCAAGGTTGCTCTTTGATGGATTAAAGTCCAAAAGGATACTGTATTTTTGTTTTCTTTCAATGCATCTTTTTGATGTTGTAACTCAGTTTCAATATCATATTCGACACCGCGTAATCTAATTAAACTTTTTTTAGCTGAGTCTTCAAGACCTTTTTTTAAGTAGTAGATTGGTGATTCTGGCATGAACATAAAAACTACAAAGAATACAACTGGTATAGTAGCAGATACAATTGATAATATACGCATATTAACAAAAGTTCCTAAAAGATATGATAAAAGGATGCCTACAGTAAGAAGTAAAGGAAAATAGTTTCCAACAGATCCGCGAATTTCATTTTCAGCTATTTCTGCTGTGTATATTGGTGCTACTACACAAAAAACTGCACCACTGAGACCAGTGATGAATCTACCAAAATAAAACATGGCTAGATTATTGGCAAAAATTAGAAGTAACCAGCCTATGGTAAAAGGTATCACCATTAAAAGCATTGAACCTTTTCTTCCTATTATGTCAGCAAGAATTCCAATAGGAATACACATTATTGCTGAACCCACTACAGCTAATGAGCTAATCCATGAAAATTCGTCTTTAGAAATTGTTATATTATATAAAGACTGTAAGTCCTTTCCATCTTCACCAGCAGAAGAGGTCCATGCTAATATCATTCCATTTGCTAAGGCGCCAAGTGTTGCTGCCAAACTAGCAATATATTGAGGTAATCTTTTAGCTGGTACACTTTGGTGTTCAATATTGGAGACCAGGGTTTCTTGTGAAATACCATAATGTATTTCATTCATTTTCTTCACTTTTCTAAATATCTAAAAATAATTAATTTAATATTAATCATAAAACAATATTAGAAATTTTTTAATTTTTAATCAAATTTATTTTTAAAAAAATTGAATAATTATTTATTTTCTATCTCAGTTCAAAAATAGTATTAGTATTTATTATTTTTCCTGTAAAGATAGAAACAAATATTTTGTGTATTA